TTCTTTTTGTTCAGATTTTCTCCTAAAAGGCAACTTTCTGAGAATCCTTCCCTGCCCACCCCATATAAAGGGGTCCCAACCCTGACACAGGTACCACAGTAGTTTCTGTGTTACAAAGAGCATTTCACATTGTGAGATCTTAATTTATGTGTTGTCTGTTGACCCATCTGGGATTGATGCTCCGTGAAAGGCCTCATCTTTCTTGTTTACCTGGTAGGTACATAGTGGCTCAGTCAGTATTTGCTGAATAAGGTCGTGATTCCTGGTGCCAGACACTGTGATAAGTACTCTGTGTTATGTCATTTAATCCTTATAACAAGCCTGACTGAGGTAAGTTCTTTCATTATTGCTATTTTATACCTTAAGAAACAAGTGCAGAAAGGATAAGAGCATTTTGTCTATTGTCTCAAAACAGGCCCTACCTGAGAATCTCATCCATATCTGTGTGAAGTCACAGCCCATGTTCCTTTCACTTCATCTGGCAATGCAGAGGGAAGGGACCTTTAGGAATGGAAAACAAAGGAAGGGAAGATGGTCTGAATGCGAGGTACATCGGGTCAGGGTCGGCTCCGGCCCTGGGGCAAGGAGTGCAGGGAGGTGCAGTATAGAACACAAGGACCTAAGTGAGGGTGAGAATAGTAAGAGCTAACATTTACTCACTTTGTGCCAAGCACTGCTCAAAGCAATATATTGAATACTCACCTGGGAGTTGTAGGTGGTATCATTTCACAGATGAGGAGTCTTGGCTCAGAGATGTTAATTATCTTCTCCAGGATCAGACAGTTAGGATATAGGGGAGCTGGGATATGACCAAAAGCAGTCTGACGACAGAGCAAGTATTCTCATTGAGACCCTGCACTCTCCCCAGCAAGAAAATAACCGGATTTACAGGACTAGTGTGCTCCACGCTGGGCACCAACTCCTGCTTCCTGGATTCCTATTTCCTTTGTGGAATGGCCTCAGCCAATGTCACATGCCTGCCTCTGCCTGCTCTCCATAAAGAAGGTGGCTGATGGCTTCCGCTCATCCATGCTACTGCACCAGCACCAGGAAACCTGGGGTTGGCAGGGCAGCGATCCTGGGTCAGTGTAGTCACAGACAGACTCCCTGGGGTGGGAATCCCAGGCTTAGACTGTAAAGCATCAAGGGCAAAATGGAGAGCAAGCCGTCTGGCTAGAGACCTTAAAAAAAACAGTCTCCAATCAGCTTTATTCCCCCCAAAAAGCTGACATTTTGATCTAAAGAAAAAATAAAAGGCTTCCTTGATTCAGTGCTGGCAGGAATGAGGGTAGCAGATCAGAGAGCGAGGCTGGAGCACAGTGGCACCGGCTCACACAGTCTCCTCCAGCCCTAGGAGCATTAGCCAAAGCCAGCAAAGAGGGATTTCCTCTCAAAATAGTAAGATTTGCATAAAAAATACAAGGGTGGCCCTATCTGGTTTGGCTCAGTGGATAGAGCGTCAGCCTGTGGACTGAAGGGTCCCGGGTTCAATTCCGGTCAGGGCACATGCCTGGGTTGTGGGCTCGGTCCCCATTATGGAGCATGCAGGAGGCAGCCAACCAATGATTCTCATCATTGATGTTTCTCTCTTCCTTCCTCTCTGAAGTCAATAAAAAATATATATATTAAAAAAATACAAGGATGACTAAGTTCAGCATCTTTCCCACCCTCATCGTCCTTTAAAGGCTTAAGAGTTCTGGAAATTTCCTTGAAATGTGAACAAAGGAAGCTGAGAGGCAATACCTGGAACTTGTTAGAAATGGAAACTGGCCCTGCCCCAGACCTACTGAATCACGATTTGGTGCCTAGGCCCAGCATTCTGCATCAACAAGCCCCACGCCCCCACCCCCGCCCCCCAGGTGATCTAGACACACAGAGGTTTGAAAAATCACTGCCCTGGGAAACATCTCTGAGCCTGTCCAATGTCTGAGCCAAGACGTCTGTCTGAGAGCCCTGGGAACCGCTAAAAGCACTAGCATCTCAGCTTCTAAACTACATGCCCCAGAGGGCTTCTTGCGCCCAACAGTGGCACTTGCATCCTTTATTTGGATGAAAGGCACCAGTGTCATTGGAAAACATGGCCCCTGTAAGTATCGAGCTTTCACGGGGTTTTGGACGGGCGGTGCCTTCTGCCAAGGATTGCTCTGAGAGTGCCCTGCGGCCTCTCCCAGGGTGTGAAGAGGCAGAGGGGGTGACCGAGGCAGAGGAGGAGAGTGTGTCTACCTCAAACCCCTCGTCTTCCAAACTGTTCAAAACGCACATCCTGCACATTGTTAAAGTCCTAGATGCCACTAAGCCGCAGAAACAAGGGTAATACAATGGCAACTGTTATGTATATTTTACCACAATAAAAAAAAGAGGGGGTTGCATCCTACACTGTCCAGAGACACTGTTTCAGGGCCCAACGTTTTGTACTTTGCTTGAACAGGATTCACAGAAGGCACTGGGAATACTGGTCTTGGTGACAGCGTCCCTGTATTCATTCAATTCATATTTCTTTGTGTTTGTTGAACACACACTGCAGGTAGCATGGGGAATCCACTGATGTATGAGATATGGTCCATGCTCTCAGGGAACTTGGTCTAATGAGGCACACAGAAGCCAGGGAAACAGAATAAGTACAAGTTATGCTAAAAGTACAGGAAAACAAACTGAGTGCCAAGATAGAAAATAGCAGGGCCCATTTCACGGAGGTGCATGGAAGAACTCTTTGAGAGACACTGAAAGATGAACAAACGGGAGCCCGCAAAGCAAAGGGGGCCAGGAGTGGTCCAGGAGAAGGATATCACACAGGAAAGACACAGGGGGCAACGTCGGGCTCGTGTCAGGTAAACACATGAGCGACTTAACAGTGAAGGACAAATAGTCCACCTTGAGCCCTGGCCGGTTTGGATAGAGCGTTGGTCTGCGAACCAAAGGGTCCTGGGTTCGATTCCGGTTAAGGGCACATACCTTGGTTGCAGGCTCCTACTCAGCCCGGGCCCTGGTCGGGGCTTGTGCAAGAGGCAACCAATTGATGTGTTTCTCTCACATGTAGCAATGTTTCTCTCTCTCTCTTTCCCTCTCCCTTCCACTTTCTCTAAAAATCAATGGAAAAATATCCTCAGGTGAGGATTAACAACAAAAAAATAGTTCACCTTGACTCTTAGCCACCTGCATTTGCCTCTGATATATTTTGGGGGCAAGCAATGTTTGAGCTGTTAGGGAAGCAACTTTTTCATTCAACCACTACCACTTTACAGCCTGGCGAAGAAATTAGAAAACTGCTGTTCACTTCCACAATCTGTTTTCCTATGCTTGTCCTTCCTCAGAGGGGCCACCCAGCCCTGGACAGCCTGTGTGGAGAGCTTGGTTTTCAGCACAGGAAGGGCAGTCTCCGGTTGGCAGTCACCAGGTAGTGGGGCAGCCTGCTTTCCTCGGTGGGCACTGGAGCTGTTCAGCCTGGGTTCAAGTTCTGGCTCTCCCTCTCCCCAGCTGTGTGACTTTACGCATCTCTCCATACCACTCCCCTCATGTGTAAAAGTGGAATGTTTGAGGTTCCAATGAGATAATATGTTTTAAACACTTAGAACAGAACCTGACTCCTAGAAGTACTCCATAGACAGCAATCACTTAAGTATTTTGTTAGTCCTGGCCAGGTAGCTCGGTTGGTTGGAGTGCTGTCCTAATGTACCAAGGTTGTGGGTTCAATCCAAGGTCAGGGCACATACAAGAATCAACCAGCCGAAACCGGTTTGGCTCAGTGGATAGAGCGTCGGCCTGCGGACTGAAGGGTACCAGGTTCGATTCCGGTCAAGGGCATGTACCTGGGTTGCGGGCACATCCCCAGTAGGAGATGTGCAGGAGGCAGCTGATCGATGTTTCTCTCTCATCGATGTTTCTGACTCTATCTCTCTCCCTTCCTCTCTGTAAAAAATCAGTAAAATATGTTTAAAAAAAAAAAAAAGAATCAACCAATGAATGCATAAATAAGTGGAACAACCAGTCCATGTTTCTCTCTCCCCTCTCTCTAAAAGCAATCAACAAATAAAAACGTATGCTATAAAGGAGCCATGGGTCCCATCACTTCTCTACTGCTTAGGCTGGAATAAATTGTTTTACAAACTTTTTTTAAAAGTGTGAGAGTAAGTTGGCCACTTGTAGAGCATTCAATAGAGGGCTCAGACCTTTGTCCAGATCACTATCATAACAGCTGCCACATGAGGAACCAAGTAGCCAGGCTAGAGCACATGCTTAATAACTATCAGGGAAGAACATCTGAAGTGTTTGCTATTTCTAGGAGAAACTTATTTGTGGCAGGCATGCTACTTGCCTACCTGAAACCCATCCTTCCCCTTTTCTTCCGTTAACAAACCCCTGGTTTTCTTTGGGGCAGTAACATGCCCAGCTAAAAGTCCTCCCCAAAGCCCTTGCAGCTAGGAGTGGCAATTTGAACCAGTTGTGGCCAGTTAAAAGTCAGCAGAAGTTACTGAGTGAAACCTCTTGGAAAGCATTTCAGAAGAAGCCAAGTTGGATGGCATCTGCCTTTTGTCTCTCGTTTTCTCCCCCTTTTCCTATCTGGAATGGCAGTGATGCCTGGATATGCAGCAGCCATCCAGGACTATGAGGAGGAAGACTATACACCAAATAAGGCAGAACAGAAAGACCGAAGGAGCACTAGCCCTTGGCTCATTACCTCTGGACTTGCTGTTAAACAAGAAAAAATAAACTATTTGATTAAACTTCTGTAGTTGGGTTTCAGTTACACGCAACCTAACACGATTCTAACAAAAAGGGCCAAAGTGCTAACCAAGGCATACACACTGTTTCTTTAGCCAGCCAGAGACAAAGCTGGTGACGGAACAGTGGCTAGTGGGTTAGGTATTCTCCTTACCCTCCAGAACCCTCTGAACCTGGACATGGACGTTAAGAATGAAAACTGCATCAAGAAGGCATTCTTCAAATTGAAATGCTTTTATTAGAACACTAATAATTGCAGATAAAAAAAAAAACACGTGAAAAAAGAGAAAACACTCAAATGCTATTATTGATTAGGCAAATTAGTTGGAAGATTTCTGCAGTGTATACAAAATGTAAACATTTGCCCTGGGATTTCCCACAGTTGGCACAGTCCATAAGGACTTATTTGGAACAAAAATATGTCTATCAGTATAGCCTCTACAATGTCTGTGAACTTGCTCCATTGAAAGTTAAAGTTCCGAGCACACCCCAAATTTTCTATGCAAAAAACTAAAAATGGCCACCAATCAAGGCAAATTGAACATCAACTGCTACATGTGGAGGCAGAGGCATGGAAGCAAATCAGTCTTCCGACAGTGAGCTCCCACTCCCTACACTAACTGTATTTACATTTACCTTGACAGATTACAAAAATATACACAGTATATAAAACCCCTGCTTCAGTCTGGGGTAGGTGATGAAATATTTCTTGCTTATCAAATGCTCCAGAGAGAGGCATCAAATCAGTCACTTGGACTCAGGGGGAGACTAAGAAGAGGCCCTCTTCTGTTCAGAAAATGGAGACTCATAAACTTCCATGGGTGGGCAGGTGCAGACCAGGTGCTGATCGCCATAGATGTCATCAATCCGGGCAATGGTTGGCCAGAATTTGTTCTCTGGTTTCACAAAGGGCTGTAAGAACAAAGGATGAAAAAAATATTCTGCCATATTTTGAGAGGTTTATCTTGTGAGAAGATATTACCATGATACTCCCACAGCCTAGTATACCACTAGCCCAACAAGTACTCAAAAAGCACAAGAAGCTAGCCCTAGCTGGTTTGGCTCAGTGGATAGAGTGTCGGCCCGCAGATTGAAGGGTCCCATGTTTGATTCCAGTCAAGGGCATGTACTTGGTTGCAGGTTCAATCCCTGGCTCTGGTTGAGGCACATACAGGAGGCAACCAATCGATGTGTCTCTCTACATAGATCTCTGTCTCTCCCCCTCCCTTCCACTCTCTCTAAAAATCAATGGAAAAATATCCTTGGGTGAGGATTAACAAAACAAACAAAAAAAGTATAAGAAACTAAAAGCTTGTTCTCGTCCCATCAAACAAACTATACAGCATCTTCTCCTTCATATAAGAACCATAAAAGAAAAGGAAATAGCCCTAGCCGGTTTGGCTCAGTGGATAGAGCGTCAGCCTGCAATCTGAAAGATCCCAGGTTCAATTCCGGTCAAGGGCACATGCCCAGGTTGTGGGCTCAATCCTCAGAGGGGGGCTGGCAGGAGGCAGCCGATCAATGATTCTCTCTCATCAATGACGTTTCTAACTCTCCCTCTTCCTTCCTCTCTGAAATCAATAAATACGTATATTTTTTAAAATGTGACATAATACATTTTTTTAAAAAAGAAAAAGAAATAGTTGCATTTGGAGCCATCTCACTATTGGGTGGTGGTAGAAAACATCTACTTGACAAGGTTTCCTATTGGGACTTCCTGCACTGTGTGCCCTGGCAGATTCTCAGACTCTGACTTCAGAGACGTCTACGCTCTGAGGACTTCCCTTGTCAGGGCCCACATTTCACAATGTGTCCCACAGACAGTTACTATGAGACTGTAAGAGTGGGAGCCCCTCCGAGTAGGCGATGGCCCCTCGCAGGCACGTGGACACTCTCACAGCTGGCACAGTCGGCTTCTGAGGAGAACTTACGAGTGGGAAGGCTGCCACCTCTCTGGAATACGGCCGATCCCAGTGCGAGGATGTGACGCAGGTCAGGGAGTGTGGAGACATCTGGGACAGACATGGATGGGAGAGGGATCAGAGCAGAACACTGCCTTCTCCCCCGTCAGGGAGCTTCTAACGGAAGCCCGTGGACAGAGGAGGCTGTTGTTTTGTTTCACTTTGGGGGGAAGGAGATCTTGGTAGAAAATTTTTTATTGTGAAATATTTCAAATATCAGAAAGTTATGGTGATATAATAAGCACATCTACTAACCAACATCAATCCACATTTTGTCATATTTGCTTAACCTTTTAAAATAAAAAACACTGGAGGCAGTTGAAGCTGCCTGGATTTCCCCTCTCCGCCTCATTGTTTGCCCTTCTCCCCAGGGATGACTACTATCTTGAATTTGGTGTTCACCAGTCCTATCATGTTTTTATATTATTATTGCATATAAATAGCATATAGCATAGTTTTTAAACCATGTATCCTATGAGTATTATTCTCCACTTGCTTTTGTAACACAGTATTATGTCCTTTAGACATCTATTGCCATTTTAAAAACAGCCTAAATCCTGAGAGAATCAGCAGTAACCAGAGTAAAAAAAAAAAAAGTACAAATGATCATATTGTCTTCCTTCATTACTTTGTCAAACTCACACTAAGTAAGGTACCTGCTTCCTCCTGCCACCCATTGGCCCCCGCACTCCACGTTCTGCTGCGCAGTTTTAAAAGTTGCTCAGCATCTCAGATGTGTTGTCCGGCTTGGAGCCATAGCAACACAACCACAGCCTTCATGGTGTTCTCAATTCATGCTACCCCGGCTTAATATCTGGACCCAATGAGAAACTTAGAGCTCTCACTAGATATGAAATAAACATATTGTAGAAGAGGCAGGATAATGCCTAACAAATTGTTCTCCAACATAAGCCACAAACATTATAAAACATTCAAGGAACAATCCAGTTGTTCTAAGAGGTAACTGTCTTTAATGTAAGAACTTACCTTTACCCTGAGTTTGTGAGGTAAATAATCTCACTGGATTGCACCAAACAGAGACACAGAATAAGACTTCCTCAACTAAATGGAGCCCGTAGGCCTCTGCTCCCTCTGTGGCAACCAGTTGGGTGCATGTGGTGTGTAGCTGCCACAACCCCCAAAACAATGACATAAACAACATTAAGACATAGAAAATATCTACATTACACTTGAGTAACAGTCATGTTCAAGATTTAAACTTCCAAGTAATGAATGCATCATCTCAGAAGAATGGCCTTGATTCTAGGCAAGAATATCATCTTCTGATGAGGGAGCTCAGGGCTTGCTGACACACTGGCCCAACCATTTTATCCTCTATGGGACATTTTGAATAAAGTCAGTGCCTACAGACCTTCAGTGGATTGACCTGGGGGTCGATGCGGCCCTCCTCAATGTCGGCGATTTCCTGCCGAATGCTTATCATGGCATCACAGAACCTATCCAGCTCTGCCTTGTCTTCCGACTCAGTGGGCTCAATCATGAGAGTCCCTGCCACTGGCCAGGACATGGTAGGGGCATGAAATCCTGCAAGGGAGACCGGAGAACATGTGACATTAATTTTGACCTTCCCAATTTGGAAGAGACACTCTCACATCGATGTTTCTCTCTCTCCGTCTCTCCCCCTCCCTTCCACTCTAAAAATCAATGGAAAAATATCCTTGGGTGAGGACTAACAAAAAAAGAAAGGAAGGAAGGAAGAAGGGAGGGAAGGAGGGAGGGAGGGAGGGAAGGTTGGAGGGAGGGAGAGAGAGGGAAGAGAGGAGGGTGGGAGAATACTATCAAGGCTGGAGATAGTAAAGGACTTGAAAGTTTGGAAGTACTAGATGGTAACTTCAATTACCACCTCCCTCCTGGCCCCTTCTCTCTCTCCCTCCAAATGCTGCTGCAGTCAGAAGTGAGATGCCAGGAGTCTGAGTCAGGTTATTGGAAGAGTCAAGAGGAGATTTTGATGAGGCAGTTGCTAATTGCATTAATGAAACCACTCTCTGGCTTTCCCATTTATTATCAGTATAACTTTGCATAATAAGATCATTCGAGAGAGAATGAGACACACACACACACACACACACACACACACACACGTGGGACGCCCATTAAGATGCAGTAGTAAACCTACTAAATTATTAAAGTTTTCATTTTGTTTATTAAAAGAAGTCATTCAAAATCATCATTAAAATTAAGATGGGACTCCACATCCATTGAAAGGCAAAGTTCTCTTCAACTTAGCCTTTCTGAGAATTGAAGGGTCTTTGATATTATTAATAATGTCACTAAGAAAATGTATTTTAATAAGGGCTGTGCTGAGCAAACATCCACTAATATACAAAGGGCCTGCGTCTCTTAAAATCCTTCAAAGAAAATTGTGTCACCGCTGTGAAAACATATGCCTATTCCTCGTCTCTAGAAGCAGCAGAAACAGCTGTGCCATGCCTGAAATGGTTGTAAGTATGAGTATAAAATGCCACTTGTCTCTAGCCCTTCTACAGGTAACCTGCTCCGCTTCTCCCGCATGGTACCACCGTGCCTCTTCAAGGACCCCTCTGTTTACCAAGAGTGGGAAATAAGTAAGAATTTACCAGAAGCATGGGTAGAGAACAGCAATCATTTTCTTTGGGATTTTTAATTTTGTTAACTATACAGACATCTTGGCTGCCTGGAGTCAAGATGCATGACTTATCTTTCAAAGGGCAGTACAAATGCAGGCATAAGGAGGAGTTTTTTCTCTATCGCTTCAGAGGTTGCCTAGAACCCTGGGCTCCCCACTTAGCCTACGGATCAGTTTCCTGTGGTGACTGCACATTCGGTTTGTGCCTCCAGGAAGCGGTCCACAGCCAGCTCCAGCATCTGTGTGGATGTCAAAAGCCCCAGTCCGTGTCCCCCTACCCCCTCCCCTACCCGCCCCCCACCCCCCCAGCACCACCACCTACCAGGGGTCGCTCCCAGGAGGCCACTCACCATAATCCTGAAGCCTCTTGGCCACATCCACAGCCTCAATATTTGCAGACTTTTTGAAGGGTCTTGTATCCAAAATAAATTCATGAGCCACATAACCTGTTAGGGAAAATTGTTTTATCTCGAGATTAGCATCAGTTTGTTGTTTTACACAAGCAAATGGGCAAATAAATCAGCCTTATAATGCATGTTGAAAAGCATGGGCACTTGATAAGTTTATAGGTGGAAACAAAGACTTCCTCGTTCTTACTGCAAATAAAAATGTTTAACATGCCAGGGCAATGTATCCGATCCTTAGCGCATAACACACCCTTGAGCCAAGAAACTAATGGGAGGTGGGACTTCGGTGCTAAGGCTCCGCTGAAACATTCAACAGAGATTTCTGGGGATGAGATTACTTCTAACCTAAAATCTAGTTGCAACAGTCATCGCAGGCCTGATCCTATATACAAAATATTTCTAAAGCTAAAGATCCATTGACACCCTTTTCAGGAACTTTTCCCCCAACATCCAGTAACTGTTTCTTCTGTCTGTGTGCAAATATACTAAACATAGATCCATAAGACACAGAATTTTATGTGGTTCTTCAAACGGGCTTTTGAAGTTTCGGTTTCAGACTGAGAATTAGAAATAAGAGTTGTCAAAGCTCACACCACAAGTGGCAAGGAGTTGATAAGGCCAAAATCTCTGAGGGGTCTGTTCACTTTGTTCTAGTATGGAAACGGATTGCCTCGCTATTCCCAGGCTGCTGTCTCCCCAGCATAAGCTGTTGATCACCCATCCATCATCAAAAACCACCAAAGTTAAGTCAGCATTTTCATAAATAGAACAACATTCCCGGGAGCTTCCCAAATTCCATGCCCACACAACAGATGAATTTCCTTCAAGGAAAGCATCTATACATGAGATAATAATGTACTCTTTCTTAACCTGCTTTGCTGATTTTCAGCAAACAATGAATTACTTAACAGGTCCTTGGAGCAGACAAGTCCTCAGCCTAGAGAATAGCTCCAGTCCTTAGCAGCCCCTGAACATAGTCTGTGAACAGTTCTGCTTTTTATGTAGTGAACACATATGGATAAATTGGTTTTGTTTGAAATAAAAGTATGAGATCCTGAGGCTTTGAAAAGACTGTTACTGCATGCTTACTTTTAATGCCTGCTTTGTAACAATGATGGCAATTACACTTGTGAGGAGTGTGATTCCAAAGCAGGAAGTTGTATTCATAGGTGTGGGGGGCGGAAAGTGCCAGTTGAAATGATCAGGGGGAAAATCATGAGATTCAAGTCCTCATCAACTATTAATTCCAAGAATCCTAAATGCCCTATTACGCTACTCCATTTGGGGAGCCCAACCCTTGACCTTTCTTCGCTGAGCCTCTGGCAGCCAACCCAGCATTGTGACAATGACTTAAGGAAGGAGACTAATGTTCTGAAGCAGCAATTGCCAACCTTTCGGACCTCAGGGACCACAGGTTGGCGACCGCTGCTCTGAAGGACGCTCAGGGGCAGTGGAGGAGGAGGAGAGAGACACATGGGGGGGGAGAGGAGTTGCTCTTGCTGGTGGGCAGGGAGCAGAATCTTCCAGAGGTTCAGTAATCGCTGAAAGGCCCCATCCAGCCCAGCCCTGCCCAGCCCAGCCGAGCGCAGCTAACACCAAGGCTTCTCCGCAGAGGCCCCCACCACAGCCTAGTGGTTTGGGAAGAGCTCCATTTTCAAAATGAGGTTCAGATGTTATTTTCTAAATCCATCGTCTATGCATTCAGATGGAAACGATAGTGGAATTTCAGCATCTTTCTCTCTCTCCCCCGCTACTGAGCCCGGCAAACGGTGAAATTTAAACTTCGTGGCTTTTGGAGGCCAGATCCCAAGATGTTCATCTTTGTTTGCAGCTTTTAAGAAGGAAAGATATACAAACCTTCTATGGTACAGGGTGAGTCGGGGCAATCTGAAGTAGAAATTGTATAAACTGATCAGCACAAGTTTTCACTGAGTAGGTGTTTCTGCTGGGCCTGACCATGACTATAACTGAGAGTCTGACTAGACAGCAAGTCAAAGGAGCAAGGAGGGGAGGGGGTGGGATGATGGAAAAGCAAAATAGAAATGGCTTGGCTCCAAGCTTGGAACATGCCCCTTCCCAACCCCCGGAAGTTAATTATCTTCCAAGGCTACAGAACGTGCTCCAGAAAAAAAGGACTTTTCAAAACCCCTCTTGAGCTTGGCCAGTGTTGCTCAGTGGTCGACTTCTGAACCAGGAGGTCACAGCTTGATTCTCAGTCAGGGCACATGCCCGGGTTGCGGGTTTGATCCCCAGTGGGGGCCATGCAGGAGGCAGCAGATCCATGATTCTCTCTCATCATTGGGTCTCAGGAGGTGTTTCTCCCAGCCAGGGATCTGAGGGCCCAGCGCCTGAGGCTCATGTCCACCCATAAAGGCCACAGGGAAACCTATTCAGGGGCAGGAATTTCCAAGCAGCATTAGGTTTGTCCAAGGACAAAACAGGACAGGCATTTAAGAATTTAAAACATAGCCCTGACTGGTTTGGCTTAGTGGATAGAGCGTTGGCCTGTGGACTGAAAGGTCCCAGGTTCGATTCCGGTCAAGGGCGTGTACCTTGGTTGCGGGCACATCCCCAGTAGGGGGTGTGCAGGAGGCAGCTGATTGATGTTTCTCTCTTATCGATGCTTCTAACTCTCTATTCCTCTCCCTTCCTCTCTGTAAAAAATCAATAAAATAGCCCTGGCTGGTTTGGCTCAGTGGATAGAGCATCGGCCTGCGGACTGAAAGGTCCCAGGTTCGATTCCGGGCAAGGGCATGTACTTCGGTTTCGGGCACATCCCCAGTCAGGGGTGTGCAGGAGGCAACTGATAGATGTTTTTCTCTCATCGATGTTTCTGGCTCTCTATCCCTCTTCCTTCCTCTCTGTAAAAAAATTAATAAAATATATATATTTTTTAAATCAATAAAATATATTTTTAAAAAATTTTTAAAGAAGAATTTAAAACAATGGGATATGAACAAAATTGTCTACTCCACTGACAGGAACACCATTTAGATTAAAAAGTGACCCTAGCCTCGCACAAGAGTAGAGACTTGTGACTTTTTTAAATTTCTCCTTTAAAAAAGTATCATTTTACCTGAGGTAATTCCTTTCTTTCCATATCCTATAACAGAATAAATACTGCTGCTGCTCTCCATCCCAATTCTTGCCTGCCACTTCTTTGCTTCACAAAACTATAACCCTCAACCGTTTAGCTGGTATTTTCAAACTCTCAAAGAAATGGTTCATAAAGGGAAGCCTGGAGTTCATTAAAATTGTTGCCTCATAGTCATGGGTAATTCTGAAGTCTTTTTAGAGCTAGTAAATAGGAATAAAATGAATAACGGTCTTCGGATATTGCCATTAGACATTTTGGAATACAATATGTTTAAAAACATTTTCTATTTTGGGCCCTTGGGAGATAAACTGATAATTCTTTTCTAGGCCTTAAAATACAAAGCCTCAAATTGTATAATGAATGTGTTTACCAAACCAAACATGAGACAATTTTTGGTTTCATGAACTTTGGGATTGGGTAATAAAGTCTGTATTCACCAGTCCTTTTCTGCTTGGGATGATAAATAGGATTCATTATTCAATTCTGGGGTAAAATGTCAAAACAAACGGAAAATGTTATCTGTCTTTTTATGCTGCAAATCCCTAGGACTGGGACCATCTATGCCCATAGAAAGCACTTAACTGCTAAGCACATGGTGGGCGCCTGAGAAATGCTTGCTCACTCTCCTCTGTCCTGGAGAGCCGCCCATCCCCCACAGTCCAGGTGACAAGCATTCCTCCTGTAAACAACTACTGGTAAACCGGGCATCACATTACTCTGCGCACTTACTAACAATCACCGAGTTGTACATTTTAAGTGGGCGAGTTGCGTGGTACGTGAATTCTATCTCAATGAAGTTGTCAAATAAAGTTAATCATAAGGGAAAATGTCAATATAAAAAAATTAAAAATAGAAAAAAAACAAATATTGATAAATTATAACACAAATATGGTGTTTTACTCATCAAGTTGGCAAAGATACTTTGGTTTAGGTTTGCATTGCTTTTTCGTGCTCACTAGGCCCTGGTGCCATGGTCATTCTCACCTACTGAGAAAATTCAGTACAAAGTCTCTGGGAGGACAACTAGGCCCTCTGTATCAAGAGCTTCAGTGAGTTGATAGCCTCTGAGATAATAATTTCTCTTCGGTGACTAACCTAAGGAAACAATCAGAGATTTTTTTTTTAATCTAAGAAATTCAAACAACTCAGGGAAAAACCTATAGAATTGCTGAAATTGTGGTATACTCACACAACAGATTTGATGCAGTCACTCTCGAAGAACATGTAATGGCATGGGGAAATAATCACAATATAAAATAAAGTTAAAAAAACAAACAGGACACAAGCCCTAGATGGTTGGGCTCAGTGGATAGAACATTGCCCTGCAGACAGAAAGGTCCCGGGTTTGATTCCGGTCAAAGGCACGTACCTCGGTTGCAGGCTCCTCCCCAGGCCCTGGTCCAGGCCCATGCAGGAGGCAACCAATCAATGTGTTTCTCTCACATTGCTATTTTTTTAAAAATATATTTTACTGATTTTTTACAAAGAGGAAGGGAGAGGGATAGAGAGTTAGAAACATCGATGAGAGACAAACATCAATTCAGCTGCCTCCTGCACACTCCCTACTGGGGATGTGCCCGCAACCAAGGTACATGCCCTTGACTGGAATCGAACCTGGGACCCTTCAGTCCACAGGCTGAGGCTCTATCCACTGAGCCAAACCAGTTAGGGCTCACATTGATATTTCTTTCTGTCTTCCCCTAACTCTTCTACTCTCTCTAAAAATCAATAGAAAAATATCCTCAGATGAGGATTAAAAACAAAACAAGAAACAAACAAACAAAAACAGGACACAAACTGTGCTTATAATATGATCTCAACTGTCTAAAACTAAGATGAGAAGGAATACAGCAACATATTAATCGCAATTGTGTCTGCTAGATTGAACCATGGATCATTTATATTTTCTTCCTTATACTTCTTTATTTTCCAAACTTTTCATGTTGGGCACCTATATATTATTATATAACCAGACAAAACAAATACTAAAGCTATTCCTGAAGGCCAACACATAAGCGGGATGCATTTCACAGCGCAAGAACTGTATCTGAATTAATTAGTAGCTCTAGTCGCTTCTTTAATATGCACTTCAGAAGCACTTCATTGTGTTGCTTAGAGACACATTGCCCACACCTTTCTTTCATCCTCTCTGGGGAGCATTTCTACCCGAGCTTCTGGTTACTTAGCTCTTTTCTAAACTCTAGAACCACCCCTTGGGTACATTTTTTAAAAAAATATATATTTTATTGATTTTTTACAGAGAGGAAGGGAGAGGAATAGAGAGTTAGAAACATCGATGAGAGAGAAACATCGATCAGCTGCCTCCTGCACACCCCCTACTGGGGATGTGCCTGCCACCAAGGTACATGCCCTTGACCAGAATCGAACCTGTGACCCTTCAGTCCTCAAGCCGACGCTCTATATCCACTGAGCCAAACTGGTTAGGGCTTGGGTACATATTTAAAGGCAAGACCAGCCTTTAAATGAAAAATCACAGATGTTGATGTACACTCTTCTGTGCAGGAAACCCAAAGCCAAAGAGTGGCCTCCTTCCTGTGGCCCAAAGTCTGGCTGCTCTTACTGACTGGTCTCTGCTCTAAGTCCCCTCTGTTCCTTCTCCGATTCTGAGCCCACGCACTGTGTGCCTACCTGGCACCATCCCCTCCCATCACCTCCAGGGTGACTTTGTTTCCCCGTCTGTTATTCTCTCCATTGAAGCTTCGCTCTCCCCTCTTCACTGCTTTTTCCATGGAAACAAAACAAAACTACATCCTATGCAGCAGCTCCTACCACCCCTTCACCTCCAAACTCCCCCAAACCACGAGAGCTTCCCACATCTCTTCCCCAACCTCAGCCCACTTGTCAGCCCATTCCCACCTGGCATCTGCCTCACCGTCTTGCTCTGCTTTCAAAGGTGACTGAAGGCTTCCTAGCTGTTAAAGGCAAAGGTGCCTTTGAGGACACCTATCAGATACAACCAGCACTCTGCGCGCTGCACTCTGCATTTGTCTGTTGATGGCTCGCGCTGTGCCAGGCATGACACCAGGCATGGGAGCTCCAGAACTGCAGCAGGCAGGCACCGCCCTGCAGGAGTTTGGAGTCAATGGCAGAGCCAGAGGATAAACTAAGTGGGAGAAATCCTCTGTGCTGAGGGAGCCAAGAGGAGGAAGTAGTTCTCTTCATCCAGAAAGGGAGGCTCCAGGGAGGAGGTGAAGCCAGAATAGTGGCAGGAAGGACAAGCAGAGGGTTTCTGGGGAGAGGGGCTGTGAAGACTGGTGGTAGAGGGTGCTCAAAGCCACCCCAGGAATGGAGTCCCTGCTCACGGTAGGGGGGCTTCTGCACTCCTCTTTTTTTTTTTTCCAATGAATATTTACTTGTTTCTGTTAGTTTAATATATAGGTAATATAATATAGGTATTTTTTTAATTCTCACCCAGGGATATTTTTCCATTGATTTTTACAGGGAGTGGAAGAGAGAGGGAAAGACAGAGAGAAATATTGATGTGAGAGAAACACATCAATTGGTTGCCTTCTACACAGGCCCTGACCAGAGCCCGGGCCAGGGGGGATTCTGCAAAATAGGTATGTGCCCTTGACTGAAATCGAACCCAGGACCCTTTGGTCCATAGGCCGATGCTCTATCTACTGAGCCACACCGGCTAGGGCCCCTCTTAATGTAGCCATCTACTTGAGGGGTTTTGCTCTGGTCTTTCGAAACTCTTTCTTGGGTCTCCCCACTTCCAAGAGTCTGCTCTCAGAGGTTGTGTCCTCTGCATGTCTACCTGACTCCATCCCCTCCCATCACGTCTGAGGTGACTGTTCCTCCGTCTATTATTGCCTCTATTACAACCCTAAGAGGCGTACCTAAAATGTATCTTCACACTCAACTTATCAGTAACTAAGACTCACTGATTCTACTTTTAATAGCATGTTCATGCCATGCCACCATCTTAAAGATTTCAACATTCTCTTCATCTTGTCATTCCTCTCCTCAAAACCTTTCTGGCTCAGAGGTCAAGTCTGGGGCCTTCCAAGACTTTCAAGGCCCCGTGCTACCTCTCCAGCTTCATCCTCATCGGATCCTTCTCCTCCTATCTCGTCCTTCAACCCACCCAACACTCCCACCACCTGGACCACTCCTTTGTCCCTGGCTTCTCCTGGGTCTCTTGTTTACTTGGACTCTGTATACTTCCTTCCAGGCTCATCTCAACGGGCTCCTCCCAGAAGCTGCCCCAAAAATGCCATCCTGCCTCTGCCCAATCCGAATTTCTCCCCTCTTTGGGGGCATTCCCATATCGCTTTGTAAGGTAAGGAGCTCGTGGAATTTACGGATATAGCTCTCCGTGGCGTGGGCTTCGTGTTGGCCTGAACTAACTTCATTGCAGAGCCTTGCAAATGCGGATACCCCTGATCTGTTAGCTAAATTACAAGCATTTCCAATAACTGTACACTTTTCTCTGGTGTACACTAAGAAACACAAGTTTTCCACCCACTTCAGAAAACCAGATCTACTAGGACAAACTTGGTTTGACCAAGAAAAAACCAAAGTGACTAAAGTTAATACTTGCCTCTTGCACCCCGGAAAAGGACTCTGTAGTGTTTTTCTAATCTCTTGGCCATGTAGTTGGCATTCAATATAGCAACTTCCGTGGCTTGTTTAAGGCCCTTGCCTCCCATCATCTGTAAGAGAGGGAAAAAGAGCCATCAACTATGGAACAAGTAAACCCAATGGGCACAAACCAAAGACACCTCCTGAGAAATCCCCCTACAAAGAAAGTCAGCCCACCATCACTGTAAATTGCACGTGAGTGGAAACCCTAACAAGGACATCTGTCAGTCCTCTCTAATCCTGAAACAATTTTTGGTTTTCTCCTTTGAACGGTAATTTTATATTGCTTATTACAGTAACAAAGCCTACAGGGTAAAATTGACTGCTGACTATTGTGTTATCTAAAAAAGGAAAAGAATTATTTTAGGTTATACTCATTTAGGGGAGTTTTTGTTTGTTTACTGTGAATTTGAGATGCCTTGATGATTGCCAAGAACCCCATGGGATCTTGGCCAAAATCCCCACTGAATAAATTTTGTGTGGTTTGTCTTCCAACTGTCCACAGTCACGGCCATTTATGTTTAACAACTGCTGGGTTCAATTATACCTTTTTCTGGTGGTTCATAAGTCTCTGTGATTATATGGGGTAAAGGGCTTAAAGTCAAGAGTTGCACAATTTTTATTGCGTACTTTCTTCCCAGAATACATCACGTATGATGGAGGCTTGATATGTATTAAATACATAACTAATGTAAAGCGCATGAGAAAGCATCAAATAAAACAACAGAGGCACCAAAGTCCAAAGTAAGGAGAAGACACATTTTGCCAGGCTGGTCACAGGTCCCTGGGAAGAGTTAGAACTTGAGTGGAAATTTTAAAATGGGTAGAATTTAGATAGACCAGAAAGGGGAAGACACTCCCGGTGAGAAGAATGGCAAAAACAAAGGCGTAGAAGGGAAAGCACACGGCTGCAGTCTGGGAGTTCCTGTAGAGCAGTGGTTCTCAACCTGTGGGTCCCGACCCCTTTGGGGGTCAAACGACCCTTTCACAGGGGTCGCCTAAGACCATCAGAAAACACATATATAATTACATACTGTTTTTGTGATTCATCACTATGCTTTAATTATGTTCGATTTGTAAGAATGAAATTGGGGGTCACCACAACATGAGGAACTGTATTAAAGGATCGGGGCATTAGGAAGGTTGAGAACCACTGCTGTAGAGCCTGGTGCATTGTGACTACCTCTTGCAAGCCTCAAACTTTTGCGAGGGAGGACTTGGACTTGGTTCAGCGACTAGCTTTCTGACTTGCATATCAGTTACTGAGCAGCTCGATGGCTCAAGCCTGCCCCTACATACGCTGCATTTGATTCTCTCTGGGGCCTAGGCATGTGCATTTCTGAAGAATCCCCTAAGAGTTCTATGTAGGCTAGTGAGACCCAGCGGTGATTGCAAAGGGAAGCAAGGAGTAGGTTTGGGGGCCTTCAGGGAGAATGTCCAAGATGGACTGAAACAGGGAGAGAAAAGGTGGTTCTAGAGTCCAGGTGAAGTAAAGACAGGGCCCAAAGTCAAAGGGTCGCTTAACCCCTATTTTATTTACTTCACTCTTACACTGAGGCTCTGCCTGGTGTTCCTGGCACCCAGCCAAATCAGCCCGGGGCATTTATTTTCTATCTGTGGGAAACCATCTCCAGTCCAAACAGGTCCATAGCAAATAGCCGAGGTTTACAGGACCTCTGGACCGAAAGGAAGCTGGGAATTAGATTCCGTTTGCAAAGAAGCAGGCCTTTATTATGATGGTCTTTGTTGTCTCCTAATTGCAAAACAACTCGAGGGTCATTTAAAACAGAAGGTTTTCGTCTCTGAGGTACGGTAATAGCATTGTTGTTCCAGCTTCCCAGAAAGTTTTCCTTAAGAATCATAAACGCCACACTGTTCAAGAAGAACAGCCAGCCCCGGAGAGCCATCCGGCATGATCTGCATGGCTGAGTTTGAGGTTTTGTTTCACCAGAGGCCACCCTTCCTTTAAAGGGAGGAGCCAATGGGGGAAGGCGGCTCTGATCAGCGACTGAAGGAAGGTTCCTCTCCAACACACAGTCTGGTCAGCCCGGGAGGCGGGCAGGCCAGTTCGAACGAGAGCTGCATGAACTCTGGCGCTAGTGTTTTTCTGGAGAAACACAAAGGAAGGAAGCCTGTTTTCTGACAAAGTCTAATTGCCCCCGAGAGTGCAGTTCCACAGGCCGTAAAGGGCAAAGAGCTTCGGGAAACCACCACATCAGCAAATGTCTGCTACTTTTCATCTGCTCCTCCAGGCTTCCGAGAAATACAAAGTGAAGTAAGATGTATTCCTAGAATTTATCCCAGGATCTCAACCAAGGGTAAGACTTAGTATGCACACTGTTTTTCACTTGCAAAAAGCGGTCATACAAATCCTACAGGAAACCAGATGACGTGGCCAGAATAGCCACATGACTCAGAGAACTTAAACTCTGTCTGGAAAAATAGATCTGGTGTGTTAATTTCTCTGACGTTAAACCCCCTGTGAGAACCCAAAGGAAATAGCATAATGAAGACGAGATGAAATGCTTTTTAGCTGATCTCTGTAGGAAGGTTTCTTCCACCCAAAGACATCGGCAATCTTCACTAATCACATTTCAGATTGTGGGGGTTTTTCATTCTCAAGGTAAGAAGGAAGTCTGCGATCTCAATTCCCCACTCACTCATCACATCCTCCCACCCACCTAACACACATTCACAGGCCTCACCTTAATGTAAGCCCATGAAATGGGCAGGATGGAACTGGAGCCCCACGGGCCTGCGCTGACGGTACCCACGGGCCGGGCATTCTCATCAGACGTTAACGAAATGACAGGATGACTGGGTAGGAAAGGGGCAAGATGCTTCTTCCTGTAGTTTTAAGTACAAATTCAGAAGATGTAAAAAGATCCACTACAACCAGCCAGGTACAGGCTGGGCCCTCTCAGGAAGCTGTTCCCAATAGAGCAGCGGTTCTCAACCTGTGGGTCGCGACCCCTTTGGGGGCCGAACGACCCTTTCACAGGGGTCGCCTAAGACCATCCGAAAACACATATATAATTACATATTGTTTTTGTGATTAATCACTATGCTTTAATTATGTTTCAATTTGTAACAATGAAATTGGGGGTCACCACAACATGAGGAACTGTATTAAAGGGTCGCAGCATTAGGAAGGTTGAGAACCACTGCAATAGAGGAACTCCGAGTGTGGAAGGGACCTGACAGCACTAAGGCAGACGTTCAGGAAGTGTCCCTGCCTTCCTCCTCCACTGGAAGCACGGCTCGCCAGACACGGGTGTCCCAGGGGCTCCCCCAGGAACTGGTGGAGGATTTGTCTGAGGCAGGCTCATCGGGATGTGCGGACATCCCAGCCCCATACCCTCTCCCTCCCAGCCCCACACTCTGTCCTGAGGCACCTGAGGGACATAGAAGGATGCTGCTTGGAAGAAGCCCATGGGGCTACACATCAGAGGCCTGCGTGTGAACCATTCACCCCACCCTCCCCACAGCTGAGGCACTGGGCCTCTTCCACTTACAATAAATAATAACCATCAAAAAGGAAAGCAGAAGGGCTATCTATTATAATCTCAAAAATAAAGGTTTTAAAAAATTAAAATAATAATAAGAATAAAAAGGAAAGCAGAAAAAAGGGGGCAGAATCCAAGCCCTGAAGACTGGCCCCCTTGGCACATTTTTGAAAGACTGAAGCTCAGGACATGGCTACCTAGCCTCATTTTCATAAGATAACTTGATTTCACAGTGTAAAAAGATATATAACATCGACAAGACACTCCTTTGGTCTTATTTTGACTTCATCCAATTATTTCTAATAATAAGGTTTATTTTTTCCTTACTTATCTCAGATATAGTAAGAATCCAAAGCCACTTTCTGCTAGGAGTTCTTTTGCTGTTATTGTTGTTGGATAATTCGCTTTCAATGCAACCATCAGCTGATTTTAAAGAGAAAGAAGTCTAAGTCTGAAAAGCACTTCCAGGTGCTAATATTCCAGTTCTGATCCATAATCCTCCAGCAAAGCTCCCTCTTCACTACTCTTAGTAAACGTGCCCTGTCTGTGCATGAATGGGAGCTCAGTGTGGCCAAACGTTATGGTTAATAAAATCTAATTATGGTCTTCTTTGGACATACCCTAAAGGCATCTATTTCACTGCTCCTGTCCCAGGCCCTATGGGCACATTACATAGGCGGGTAACCTCACCACCTGAAGACCTCAATGGGAATAATAGCAGGTTTGGGGCTGCTCTTTCATTCTCAGTGTCCAAAGCCATGCTGAGCCCAGCAGCCCAGAACTCACACTCCGATGGGCCCCATGCCAGGGCCGCCTCCTCCATGGGGAATGCAGAAGGTCTTGTGAAGGTTTAGGTGTGAGACATCAGACCCAAAGTCTCCAGGACGACAGATTCCCACCTACCACAATGGGAAAGAGCCGAAAGTCAAAGTCAAGAACTGGAAAGGATGCTCTGGAGAGGCAGCCAAGCTGTGTGCTGTGGCCCCTCCCCGTGGAGGAAAGGCAGGCGGAGCTGCTCACAGGCTCACCCTCAGTCCTGGCTGAGGCCTGCCTGGCATTCCATAGGCAGCATGCCTTGTGGCTTCTGTGGAAACAGCAGCTGACCATTTAGCCTAATTTAGATTCTAAAATACAGAGTTGAATATATAGTCAATTCCTAATTATCCAACCCCTGAGCAGAGAAAGAAAATGCCGCAGCACAAGAATGGTTGTACTCCTTGCAACTGACACGGGCACCTCTCAACCCAGCAGTTTAGTTCCCCCTGAACTTTCCCCGAAAGGCCCCTTTGGGCACCCTGATGGGAGGGGCTGGAGGGCTGCCCAAGAGGATGCTGATGAGCCCAGGGAGAAGAAGGGAGGCAGGCAGTTTTCCTGAGGCCATCCCGATGCCAAGGACAACATTCAACAACGACAACAATCAACGGGCGTCCCTGCCACTTTGGCATTAGGGCTGGTTTTGAATGCGGGCAGAGATAAAGAATGCATTTCTGCTAGTGAAGCAACAGACAATCCCTGGACGACACTTACAAAGGAAATCAGAAGCAAAGAGAAGCAGAAAGAGTCTGAAATAGTAAAACAAATAAGCAATGAGAAATAAGTTAGGAAGTCTCTGAGAGAGATAATGACACTCCTTGCACCCCACACAAGCCTTCTCCTTTCCCCCTCCCCCCACACTGGTCAGGACCTGCCTTCAGGGAAAGAACTATTCAGCTGTTTCACACTAACGAAGCTGGAAGCTGAAGCCAGTTTAATGCTTGTCCAAGGTCATGGCAGATCAACATCCACGGATGGCCAGAACTTGGGTCTGAATTCTCTCAGAAAGGCAGTCAGGTGAGCCTCTTGTCTCTCCCACCCCCAGAGGGATCACACCCGTGACAAGCTAAAGGCTTTCAACTCATTCCCTCCTTCCTTTCAACCGTTTCACCTCCTCCTCAGTGTCCCCCATCACCTATTTAGGATCTGTAATCTCAGTGACATTCGGGGGCTTTGTTTGAAACTGTCATCCTTGGTTCTGAATACAGTGTCATGTTTAAGACAACCCTCAAAAGGTCAGAGAAAAAAATTTTTTTCACTTAACAGTTTTCTCAGGAATCCCATCTCGTGTTGCCCACCTGAGCGTTCATATTTGCCCCGTCTAGGTAGACCTGGCCTCCGTGCTGGTGAATCAGGTCACACACGTCGCTGATGTTCTCTTCAAACACTCCATTGGTGGATGGGTACGTAATCATGATTGCTGCCAGGTTCTCCTTGTGTTTATCCACCTGTGGGTCAGAAAAGGGCAGAAGGAGACAAAGGAGGAAACCTTTCTTTCTTGGTCCAACAAACCCTTGCTTTTTATTTTAAAGGGTTAAGAAAGATGAATTCTTGGTCTTTTCATTTCTGAAGTTTTCTTAAAGTATGATGCCAACAATAAAAGATCCACAGCCATGATTCCCTTCATTAGTCATTCCAAAGAAATAACAAGATCCCTTCAGGCTAGGTCTCCATGGTCAACACCAAAAACACTGCTCAAAATTTTTGGACAGATTGGGCTCAAGTCTCTAAAGTGGTTTTCCTTTGAAGTCATCTCAGTAATGATTTCAGATCTTTTTAGTTCCAAACATGTATATTTTCACAGTTAATCTCTCTCTGCTCATCTTGCCATATCCACCATTATTCCCTTTCCCTCCCATTCTATGGAAATTAGAATTCCCACAAGGAGTGCTCCTGCTCTGGGGGGGGGGGGGGAGGGGGGGCGGGGGGGAGCTCCCTCAGTTTTCCTCCTGACAGAAGGCAAGCATATATAAAAGGAAAGCATGTGAAAAAGTTCCCGTTTTTCTGGCCAGCAAGTCATTGCAGGCTTGTATGAAAATGAAAACAAAATTTTAATGTCAGTAACCTATACTGGCCCAAAATAGTTGTTGGTAAAAACTTTGTGGACTGATGGAAGAGGGGAGGTGAATGAGAGAGGTGAGCACTGTTGTGTATGTTCAGCTTCCCTTTTGAAATCAGTTACTTGAAGTTCCCAGACTCCATGCCTAATAACCCTGACAAAATCACATTGCTATTCAACTGATTTCCTTCCCTCTTAAGATGCAGCCTCCAGTCCACCAGTGGAAAGCAGATACGGTTGCTAGGCAACCTCTTCCTGGAGGTTGGGAGGTTGGGAGTGGGGGATGGTGTTTTAGAAAGGAGGGTGGAATGCTGCCTGATATTCAGCAGGTAATGGCTGGGATGGCCACAGGCACTTGCAAAATCTGCATTTATGTTTTAATTCCCAACACAAAGATTGAGAAAAACCGGGGCTGCCAGTTTGATTATTAATGGAGGAAAGAGGGGTAGGTTGGGCAGGAGTAGGCAGGTCCTCCAAGGAGTACCCTTACTACCACCATGAATAATTCATTCGGTTTCTTACTCATGCATAAATTAGAGAATAGGATTTCAATTTAAAGAACCTGCTCCCTGTTGGTGAAAGAAGAGGAAGGCCAGACTGTGGTCCGCTTAATTCTGGAGCAAAACTGTGACTGTTGCCTTTTATTGTTCTTACAGAAACGGTTAGGTTTCCTGACTTTACGCCATTATTCCCAGACCCATTCAGAGGAGGAATTGCAGTCTTTTAATTAGAATGCAAAAGAAGCTAATGCTGATATAAACCATCCAGCCCCTGACCCCCACCACCCCTTCCCAACCCAAACCGCTCCGATCTGTTAAGTGGAAGATGGGTACCATGGCCTTGAGGTGAGCTGTGTCGATATTTCCATATTTATCCACCTCCACAGGCTGAATCTTCATGCCTGCCATGTGGGCACTTGCGGGATTGGTCCCATGAGCTGATTTTGGAATGAGGCAAACCTTAGGAATGAAATGAAAGGAAGGAAGGAGGATAAATAATCACCAGGCTATTCATAATGACAGAAAAGCCCTACAACAAGCACATCAAACCCACAGGCTCACGCGGGCCACATAAACAAGGTGTAAGTTCATGTGGCCGCAATAAAACAAAAGCTTCAATTTTCATAGAAACGTAGGTGTATTTCGATAGAGACATGCTGAATACAAAGGGCTGAAATAAATGAGTCATCATTAACATAAAAGAATAGAACATTTTAATAAAAATTAATATTTTTTCTTGAACATTAACTTACCAGACACTAAATAACTGCACAAATTAATAAGCATAATGCAAATAAACCTATTTTTCTTGTTCTCCGAAAGCGAAATATTTCCTGTTGTACACACCAAACAAGTCAGTCCAAGACTAATGACGTGGCAATCGGCTGCTAAAATATTCGCTGCTAGTATTAGTGGAGAGAAATGGTGCGCCTGCGCGTAAGGCGCGTAAGGGAGACGAATGCAACACGATTATAGTTACCAGTCACTAGTGAACGTTGTAGTTTGTTATTAATAATTATGCATAACAGGATATTATAAAAATTAAGTTATGAAATTTTTATGAAAACATTTCTCATATATCGTTATATTGGCTGGGCTGCAAAAATATTCATTGTGTGCCGCATGCGGCTCGCAGGCCACAAGTTTGACATGCTTGCCCTACACCATGCTTGGAGCAAAAGTTAAATAGGCACCACTTCCTTTATTTAAACTGACCACTAATGCCTTAAAATCTGCTGCAATTTCATTGTTACCGTATTGCAAAACATTGTCCAAAAGAGAAGTTTCTGTTTGGATGCCCAAATAATGTTCCCTCAGTACTTTGCTCCTTTATCTCAGCACACCAAAAATACACCTGGCCTTATTCTGACCTGATCTCAGTTAGAATGCGCACTCACCACCTTACAAAAACATAAGATCAGAAGCGCAACTCCGGGACTCAAATGCCCACATCACAGTGTCTGTGCCCTGCTCGGCTCTTCTTCGATCCAACAGACATGACAAGGGCAGACAGAATCCCAAAGCCTCCCAGTGTCATTGTTTATTCTGTGCAATGAATTGTCAGTTCCCATGAGAATCATAAACTAAGCACTAAGTCTGGTCACCCTCTGCCCTGTGCTCACACGACTTGTTCACTGACAACACTGCCACATGTATAAGTAAAGGCCTACAGGTTCGGACAGGTGCAGGGGCGGGAGGGACTTGGAATAAGGGGAGGGGGGCCACTTCAGGTTAAAGAGATCAAGAGAAAGTGTGTCAAGACCTACAGCTTACAGATCTATCGAATTCTAATGGAAAGTGGGTGATGGGTGCAATGCTAGAACTCCCAGATTTAAATCACTTTCATTTCCTCCCCCAAAATCACTTGAGCACAGGCAAAAACACATGCTCAAGTAGATCGGACGACGCCCCAGTATAGGAAAATGCATTACAGACTTTTCCTAAAACAACAAAAAGAAGCAACAAGCACCCTGAAAATAATCCTTTTTTTTTAAAAGAATTATTTTATGCTGCTCTAAAAAGGAAGGAACTCTTACCATTTGCAACGTCATGGATGGAACTGGAGAGCATTATGCTAAGTGAAATAAGCCAGTCAATGAAGGAAAAATACCACATGATCTCACTCATTCATGGATAATAGAGACCATTATAAACTTTTGAACAATAATAGATACAGAGGCAGAGCTGCCTCAAACAGATTGTCAAACTGCAGCAGGAAGGCCGGGGAGGGTTGCGGGGCAGGAGGTAGGGGGGTAAGAGATCAACTAAAGGACTTGTATGCATGCATAGAAGCATAACCAGTGGACATAAGACATTGGGGGATAGGGGAGGCTAGGGGACTGTCTAGGGCGGGGGGATAAAATGGACACATATGTAATACCCTTTGTAATACTTTAAGCAATAAAAAAAAAAAAAAAATTTCCAACATGGTTATGTCATTATGTCATTCTTCTAACCTTACAACTTTGAATCTCAATGTAATTATCATTTAGAGTGGAATAAAATCTAGTTCCTTGCCTGGCATTCAAAAAAAAAATAAAAAAATAAAAATAAAATAAAAAGAATTATTTTTACTGATTTCAGAGAGGAAGGGAGAGGGAGAGATAGGAACATCAACGATGAGAGAGAATCATTGATCAGCTGCCTCCTGCATGCCCTCATTGGGGACCGAGCCAGCAACTCAGGAATGTGCCCTGCCCGGGAATGAACCGTGACCTGGTTCATAGGTTGATGCTCAACCACTGAGTCATGCCAGCCAGGCTCCTTTTTTTTTTTTTTTTTTTTTTAAATACCAGAACCAATATTGCAATCCCTTGAAGAGAAATGGATGCACATTATAAAATGGGCTTACAAAAGGAAAGCTTAGCTTACAGCTGTTTCCTCAAAAACAGCAAAGTCATCTACTTAATAAAAATACACGTGCACAAAGAGAACTGTAACCAGAGGCACACATGAAAGTACTCTGTCACTCTTCTGCTGACAGCAAGTTTGTGCCTCTTTTGAATGGCTCCTCATCTCATGCTGGTTATGCTCTGTTCTCCTCAAATCCGTTTTCTTGTTTAAATGCCTCCCGTTTGTATTGAATGTGTTTTAATTTCTCAGGACCAAAGCGAGAGTCACTTGTCCTTTCTCACAAGGTATTTTTATTCCACCAAAGGATCTTGGTATAAAAGGATCCCTAGGGGCAGAACATTGATCAAGGAAGGGAAAGGCAAATGTTTTAAAAATGAATATAAACTATTTGTTAAAGGCCTAAGTGGAGAATTTATATCAGGGAAGTTCTGCTGAAACAAAAACATTCAAGCTAAGCCCTAGCCAGTTTGGCTCGGTGGATAGGATGCCGGCCTGTGGCCTGAAGGGTCATGGCTTTGATTCCAATCAAAGGCACATACCTTGGTTGCAGGCTTGATCCCAGGCCCGGGTTGGGGTGCGTGTGAGAGGACACCAATCGATGTGTCTCTATCACACAGATGTCTCTTTCTCTGTGTCTCTCCCTCTCCCTTCCACGCTCTTTAAAAATCAATGGAAAAATATCCTCGGGTGAGGATTAACAAAAAGAAAAAGGAAACATTCAAGCTAAAAATGTCAACCACCCCATGGTACACTGAATAAGGGGCCTCCAACGATGCCCACATCCTATCCCCAAAATGGCAAAGGGACTTGGCTGATGTGATTAAGTTAAGGGTCTTGAGATGAGAGATTAAGGACCTTAAGACAGGATGAGGATGAAGCTACATGGAGATGGTGAAAGAACATAATGATGGGGAGCTTTAGGGGCTACCTCAGTGCAAGGAGGAAAAACAGAAGAGGGAACGTTTGATGTCAGTCATCGGTCAGTCACTGGACAACTGGAACCTTAACATTCCTCTTGAAATCTGAATTATAGGTTGGGCTCCAAATGTATTCGCAAGTGTTCTCATCAGAAGGAGGCAGAGGGAGACCTGATTACAAAGGAAGTAGGAGATGTGATGACTGAACAGAGGCTGGCGTGATGGTAGGAAGGGGCCATGAGCCAAGGAATGAAGGAGGCCTCCAGAAATGGGGAAAGAAAGGCAAAGAAACATTCTGAATCCTTCAGAAGGAACCAGCCCTGCCAAAATCTTGACTTTAGCCAAGTGAAACCAATTTCAGACTCTTGGCCTGCACATACTGTAAGAAAATAAATGTGTATTATTTTAACCCACTAATTTTATAGTAATTTGTTACAGCAGCCACTGAAAATTAATATACATTCTGATATAAAGAGTAGTGGGGGGGGGGGACTCTGAGTGGTTTTGTCAATGATTCTTTTACAAGTTGCTGTTGGACATTTCTGGTTTTCTATATGGATCTAGGAAACTTTATTTTTTAATGTTAATTTTTCCACACTTTATTTATTTACATATTTATTTTTTAGGTAAGTTTTTCACACTTTAGAATTGTGGTGTTATGAGGGACATAGCAACAACAGGACCCAGATTTGATGTTTTACTTTATCCAAAACATCAAATCTATTAATATCCATTTAGAGATGCTGTGTTTTCCTCAGTCCCCAATATGTCTGGTGTAGAACCAACATAGCTGATCTTTGAAGGATTCAGGGTAATGCTCCTTTGCAAGAGAAGTCAATTTCTCACTCATGGTAAAAACTGAACAACCAAAGGCCATTACTTTGCCTCAGGCAATCAGGAAGAGAAAAATACATAAAAGTTTTTGGAAGGTGTTTCTTTGTTGTTGGTTCTTGTTGTTGGTTTTGGTCAATGTTTTCCCTTTGTATAGGAAACACAGTCTTTGACTAGCAAACCTGACTAGCAAATTGAGTTATTTCAAAGTGTTTAGGAGAGTGCGTGGCACATGGTGATTGCGATATAAGAATCTGATAAATAGCCCTGACTGGTTTGGCTCAGTGGATAGAATGTCGGCCTGCAGACTGAAGGGTCCCAGGGTCAATTCCGGTCAAAGGCATGTACCTTGGTTGTGGGCACATCCCTAGTAGGGAGTGTGCAGGAAGCAGCTGAATTAATGTTTCTCTCTCATTGATGTTTCTAACTCTCTATTCCTCTCCTTCTCCCTTCCTCTCTGTAAAAAATCAATAAAATATCTTAAAAAAAATAAAGAATCTAATAAATAAATATGCATTCTCCCAAATTAAACTGGAGAATCAAGAAGTTGGCTGTTGCCTTTTAAGAATGCCTGAAATTTAACTTAAGAGCAAAGTGAAACTAACTTCCCAAACCAGCTTGACACAAGAGAGCCATCAGGACCCTGGGTGGTTCCATAGCACGTGACTTCCCCACACTTCCTATCTGAATGGATTCCATCAGAGCCTATTGTGCAGGAGCAGCTGTCTCAGACTTCTCTAATGTAAACAAGCCATTTTCCCCTTCTCTAACTAAAAAAGTCAGCTTTAGTTAAAATCTTTCATCTAAAAAGGATGCCAACATTTCCAAACTCATGAGTTCTGTATTTCTACAAACTCAGTGACTGGGTGGCCTCCCCTGCCTCTTCCTCCCCTTCCTACAATGAGGCGCCAGCTCCTCTCCACCCTTCAGGAAGGAAGAGCCCCTTGTGACATCTCAATGACAGCAATGCGGACCATGGCACCAGAAAAAACATCACACACGAGGGGACGGAGAGAGAAGGGAGGACTAGAAAACACAAGGTGGGGATGGGAGGAGCCGAAAAGGAGTCTCTGGGTAAAGGACTCCTCTCAGGCCCAATCCAAAGGTCTCTCATCCTTTCTCCTTGACCTTTCCAGTTGGTCCCCCAACTCCTGACCATTCACATCTACTTCTGGGTGTCAAACTGGAGGACTGGGAAACAATGAGGGTGGGAAGCATCACAGAGGGTGGAACCTGAATTTTCGCTGGTCCTTGGTCATTAGCTCTTCGCTAGCCTTCCATGAACGAGAGGGGGGTCAGGGAGGGGACAACATGGAGATGGCCACACAGATCCCTTCCCAAGATCCCCAGACACCTCCTGATTAAAGAGCATAATGATGGGCGCTCCAGGGGCTACCTCAGTGCATAGAGGCCAAGGAGGAAAAATAGAAGAGGGAACTCTTAATATCAGTCATCTGTTACCCTTTCACTGGACAACTGGAGCCTCAACATTCCTTTCTGAACTGATGACAGTGCTGAGGCTCTGTGGTCCAAAAACAATGCTGTAGCTCTAAACTAACCCTTCCTTAGAAAGCTAAAGAACTCAAAACCATGAGAAAACTCAAGTGGGAAAAAAAACAACACAAGTTAGAATGCCTGGGGCTGTGTCTCTGGACTGGCACACCAAGTGCCTTGCATGTAGCCAGTAGTCAATAATTTATTCAATTAGTGAATGTCCTGGTTTTCAAAGGTCTTTGAAAATCAATTCTATTCCCCAGCCAGGTCAAAGGCCTGGGAAAACACATGTGGAATCCGAATGAATTAGTAAGGGAATGAGAGAGAAAATGTTCTCTCCCCTCTCCTCTTATTTTGAAAGGGAAGTGAAACAGTTTTTAGATTCTCTCATTGCAAAATCTAGGCAACTAGCCATAAGCAATCCCAGTTTTAATAAAACCAGAAATGGACTAAGATCAGGCCACCACCTATCATATCCCACTTACTGAGCCAGCCAGTACCACCCGAGCACCCTTTTCTCTAACTCTCCTAGATGGGCAGACACGTTTGTCCTGCTGTTGACTCCTATCCACTGCTCCTTCTAAGAACTCCACCTATGAACTTTGTGGACGTTCTAGCTAAGCCATGGTCATCACCAAAATGAAGACCACTCCTTCAGCCACAATTTTTTAAATATATTTTATTGATTTTTTACAGAGAGGAAGGGAGAGGGATAGAGAGTTAGAAACATTGATGAGAGAGAAACATCGATCAGCTGCCTCCTGTACACACCCTACTGGGGATGTGCCCGCAGCCAAGTACATGCCCTTGACCGGAATCGAACCTTGGACCCTTGCATCCACAGGCCGACGCTCTATCCACTGAGCCAAACCGGTCAGGGCCTTCAGCCACAATTTGAAGTCTGTATCAGATCAATTGCTAAAGCCACTGCCTCTGAAGATGAGGGTAGGTCCTGTCGAGCCCATTTGTACCTGCTGGTCCCCACAAGAACAGTTTGGACCCTGGAGACTAGACTCTCATACCCAAAGCTAACAATAAAGCAGAACCATGAACTCTGTTCCACGTCTTCCTTCGTTGCTTAGAGCTGACATCATTTAATTGAGCATTTCTTGACTCGATATTTTTTGAGCACACATATGACTAGAACTGTGGTTGGGCACAGTAGGAGTTACAGAAGAATTATAGCTCAGCCTCTGTCCTTTTCCAGGCCTGGGGCCAGGGCTGAGCCAAGGACAGGAGGTTTGGAATGGCAACATTCCTGCCCCTTACTCCCTCAGGAAATCAGTTTCACAGCCAACTGGCGGACTTTTACAGACGGGGTTTGAGCAAAAGCCTTTTATCTCTGAATGTTTTCCCTCAAAATGGTCCAGTGAAGTGTCTTGGAGGCAACAATCATAATGGCCAGTCCACAGAAATTTGTTTCTTGATTATATGTTCTCGCAGCTGCTTCTAAGAAAGCTTGGGGGGAGTGTCCCACAGAGTGAAAGGGACCCTGGGAGCTAGACCCGATGCCACCCGGTGGGGGGCAAGCACCACTTGCCCATACTCACCGTTCTGTGTCTCTCTCCTTTCTCTTCTAAGTAAGCTCGGATAGTGGCCAGCCCAGCATATTCCCCCTGGGCTCCACTGCAAAGGCAAGAAGAGAAGGATTAGGATTTGGGCCTTTTTGCTTTCATTGATCCATTCAATATTCGTTGGGGCCGGGCCGTGTGCTCGCCAACAAGTGACACAAAGTCACTCCCGGACACCATGAAAAGCTCACGGCAGATCTCTGCATGAGCCCACAGGACTTGAACAGCCAGGTCTGTGCCCTAAAGCTCACCCACTCCCACTCAGAGATGGGCCTTTCCACCCTCACTCAGAACCATGAGCCTAAAAAATATTTTTTATTATGGAAAATTTCAAAATTTTATAAAAATAAAGTAAAGAATATAAGGAACTGCCATGTGCCTATCACCCAGCTTTAACAGTTATTGGATTACTAGAGGCCCAGTGCACGAAATTTGTGCAGGGGGGGGGGCGGGGGAGGGAGTGTCCCTCAGGCCAGCCTGCACCCTCTCGCAGTCCGCAGTCCGGGAGCCCTCAGGAGATGTCCGACTGATGGCTTAGGCCCGCTCCCCGCTCCTGAGTTGAGCGTCTGCCCCCTAGTGGTCAGTGCGCGTCATAGCTACTAGTTGTTCCTCCATTCGGACAATTTGCATATTATGCTTTTATTATTATAGATGGTCGATCTTGTTTCCAACTATATCCCTCACTAACTCTCCTCACTCTGAACTAGATTATTTTGAAACAAAACTCAATCATGTCACTCATCAATTCAAATTTCAATATGTATCTTTCAAAGACAAGAATTATTTTTTTTAAATGTAACTACAACTATCACACCTAAAACTACAATGATTTCTTATATCACCAAATACTTAGTCAATGACCAAATTGCCCCAAGAAACTATGCACTTTGAAAGTGGCACCATTTTTGTCTGTCTCAGGGTCGGCTTTCCCAGGCCCCACATGCACACAGCTGCTAGCGGCCGGCCATACCCAACAAAACAGTCCTGAAAGGCACCACTTTTAGAGCGCACTTAACGACTAACACCCCAGTGAGCGATGCTGAGTCAATCTTAAACTGTTACTTAATGTTTTCAGTACACTCTGCAGGAAGGAAAGGGAAGTGACTAATAGGTCTTTTTAATCCCATTCAAAATACATATTCCTTCATTTTGCAAAATTACACCATCATTTGACTTGGTGGAAGACCCAGTGGTTTGGCATTCATCCCTCTAGTCACCCAGTAATTTTGAGATCATACTCTAAAAGCACAAGGCTTAAGAATAAATTAGATAAGCTTTCTTTTATTTCTTAGCTAAAAGCTAAGCATTGGAATTTTTTAAAGTTTATTTTTCAATTACAGTTTACATTCAATATTATTTTGAATTAGTTTCAGGTGTACAGCATAGTGGTTAAACAAGAAAAAAATTATACGTATATATTTTTAAATATATTTTTATTAATTTCAGAGAGGAAGGGAGAAGGAGAGAGATAGATAGAAACATCAATGATGAGAGAGAATCATCTATTGGCTGCCTCCTGCACGCCCCCCACAGGGGATCGAGCCTGAAACCTGGGCATGTGCCCTGACCGGGAATTGAACCGTGAACTCCTGGTTCATAGGTCAAAGCTCAACCACTGAGCTAGGTCGGCCAGGCAAAAATTATATATATATATTTTAAAAACTCTGGCAGCTGGCCCTGGCTGGTTTGGCTTAGTGGATGGAGCGTCGGCCTGCGGACTGAAGGGTCCCAGGTTTGATTCCGGTCAGGGGCATGTACTTTGGTTGCGGGCACATCCCCGGGGGGGGGGGGGGGGGTGGGAGGCAGCTGATCGATGTTTCTCACTCATTGATGTTTCTAATTCTATCCCTCTCCCTTCCTCTCTGTAAAAAATCAATAAAATATATTTTAAAAAAAACACACAAAACTCTGGCAGCTGGCGTGGCTCAGTAAAAACATATTTATATATAAAAAAAGAGAAAGTCAACATGCTAAAGATTTTATCAGAAATGCTGTTTCGATATTTCCATATTTTTGCCTGAGATGCTCTTAAAATCAGCTATGTTTCTACTCAAAAATGTGGAAGATAAGTTCTAAATGCCACACATGGCTTACTACTAGTCCACTATTAAAGAAAGGGGGTTATAGTGCCACCTGTTGGTGAGAAAGTATTATGACAAGTAAGTGCTTATTTTCATAACCCAGATTAAGAGATCATCAGAAAACCATTTGGTGTGGAGGGGCAGCTAGGATAGTGAATTTCTCCTCTTTCTTCTTTTTTTTTTAAAAAATATATTTGTATTGCTTTCAGAAAGGAAGAGAGAGGGAGAGAGAGAAATAGAAACATCAATGAAGAGAGAGAATCATTGATCGGCTGCCTCCTGCACGCCCTCTACTGGGATGAGCCGGCAACCCAGGCATGTGCCCTGACTGGGAATTGAACCCTGACTCCTAGTTCATAGGTAGATGCCCAACCACTGAGCCGTGCCAGCCGGGCAGGATAGTGAATTTCTGGCATCTCTTTAAAATGAAGCAGTTAGTGGCCTGGACCTGCAGAGCCAGCCACAGAAAGGAGGACTCTCGTGGATGGGGAGCCTCAGACCCACAGAAGTGCCCAGGGAGCACAAGATTAAACTGTTTTAGAAAAACAAGTCCCGCGAGTCCTGGCATTTACTCAGGCTGCTAAAGGAATGGTTATGGCTACGTGTGATACTGATTAACATAGAATGAGTAAAAACTAACTGACAACCTCTCCCAAAACCCAGACTCATTCTACAAAGAATCCAGAGAAATCCAGTAGACTAGAAAAAGCTAGAACACATATAACAAGCACAATGACTCCCAAGGTGATAATAAACTGGAGTTGATAGGATTCAACAGTTTTGTGATTATGTAAACCTAGACCAGTGATGGCGAACCTATGACACGCTTGTCAGAGGTGACACGGGAACTCATTTTTTTGGTTGATTTTTCTTTGTTAAATGGCATTTAAATATATAAAATAAATATCAAAAGTATAAGTCTTTGTTTTACTATGGTTGCAAATATCAAAAAATTTCTATACGTGACACGGCACCAGAGTTAAGTTAGGGTTTTTCAAAATGCTGACACGCCGAGCTCAAAAGGTTCGCCATCACTGACCTAGATCCTATTAGTAACAGTGTATCATCATAAGTGTGGAAATTCGGGGCAGCTACTCAATGTAAATTTAGAAAGAGAGAGAAAAAGAAAAGAGGGTGAGGGTAGTGGTGGAATTTGAAGATCCCATGATAGGGCTAGGGTCATAGTTCAGCTCTTTTGCCAAGATTGAAACAAGAGTTTAAGGACACAGTAAATTTCAAAGATATTTATCATTTGAACCTGGGCAAAAAGGTTGAGATTAAGAAATATTGCAATTTAGTTCCAAGGAGTACGTTTTTAGATGTTTGGAAAAAATGTTTATTGGACCATCACACAAGCTCAACCCCAAGGGATACTTGTAACCTTCTGCTAGATTTTAGAAATAAGATTGCAGATGATATGTCTATCTGAGAGGGAACGTAGCCTGCTCTTCTGGATGATTTTGCAGAATATGCATGGCCAGGAGTCACAGGCGGAAAGCATAGCACTCCTTAAGCATAAAACTTCAGATGGATTAAGATGATAAATGAATTGCAGCCTGGCCGGTGTGGCTCAGTGGTTGAACATCAACCTATGAACCAGGAGGTCACGGTTCAATTCTCAGTCAGGGCACATGCCCAGGTTTCGGGCTCGATCCCCAGTAGGGGTTGTGCAGGAGGCAGCCGATAGATGATTCTCTCTCGTCATTAATGTTTCTATCTCTTTCTCTCTCCCCTTTCCTCTCTCTGAAAACAATAAAAACCTACATTTTAAAAAATTAATTGCAGCCTATAAAGAAGGCATTTTGGTTAGTAACTGTGTACATTTGTCACTGATGTACACACAGCAGAAGACATCGTTGGCCAGCCATGAAGGAATTTCTTTATGCTGTCTAAGGAATATAGTTGCTGAGTTTATAGACACTATAAGAAATTTCTCAGAAGTTAGCTACATTGGAATATTTGGAGATTATTATAGCTGCTGTTGTTAATTTAAAAAGTAACAGAAGCCATTTTGCCAGATTGCAAAATATGCTATAATTCATGATTTAGAGTGAGTCCCAGCAGTCACCAAAACAACTGCTGAACTTCATTTGAACTGTGCTGAGAAAACAGCATTTGAGGTCTCAAATAGGGTGTTGTATTCACACACATCAGAGAGTGTTAAAAATGTGTCCTAGAGAAAATTATCATGTTATGGATCCTTAACGTTTTTAAATTTGGGGGCCAGTAATTTAAAATTTGTACATTTTTTAAAAATATAAACTATCTAGATTTGCCAGATCTATTCTTGTTTTACTTTTCCCTAGTAGTCTACTGAAAATCATTTTATAGTTTTTAACACACCATAGTGTGCACACTGATGGCCACAGTTAGTATGCGATTTCAGAGAAGTGTATGTGTTTTTTTCAGCTGCTTACAGGTCAGGGTGACAGACAATTTACCAGTACAGACACCTTGGAAGCAACAGTATTTTAACCAAACTGTTGCATACATTAAGAACCCCAAATGCTACCTGGGTCTCTACTTCTATAAGCTTAAAATAAAACCCTCTCAGCATGTCATTCTGGAATGTGTTTACCTATCAGTATCTAACTTGACAGAAGCTAAGTTCTATATTTAACCTTTGAATTCTGGTCAAGAAACATCTGGAGCCCTGATTGGTTTGGCTCAGTGGATAGAGTGTCAACCTGCGGACTGAAGGGTCCCGGGTTCGATTCCAGTCAAGGGCATGTACCTTGGTTGTGGGCACATCCCCAGTCGGGAGTGTGCAGGAAGCAGGTGATTGATGTTTCTCTCTCATCAATGTTTCTAACTCTCTATCCCTCTCCCTTCCTCTCTGTAAAAATATCAATAAAATATATTCAAAAAAAGAAAAAAGAAACATCTGGATAATTCCAGCAGCTCTAACCTTTCAGATACCTGGATACTACCTCAAAGCGGTGGTTCTCAAACTGGAGATTCCCAAACAATAGCATCAGCATCACCTGGAAACGTGTTAGAAATGCAAATTCCTGGCTCCTGCCCAGCCTAGTCACACTAAATCAGAAATTCTGGGGATGCAGACAAGTGTGAGAACCACTGCTTCAGAGCCTTACAAACATCAAAATTATACTTCTGAGAGTTAAGGAAATTAGGGGAGGCCAGACCCTTCTGCCCATTGCTTTATATTTCCCAAAAAAAGGCTCTTCATCCTTCATCCTTTTCTTCCTGGCATTGAGCATGCTATTTTTTGTGTGTTTCTTGGGAAAATCAGTCCCTACTCAGAGGTCCCCCATATTCGTTCTCCCGGAGCTCTGCAAGGGAGGATTCTGAAGCTGCGCTAGACTCAGAAAGCATATCAGAGATGATCACTGATAACCGTGAGCCCAGGAAAGGAGACGGATGTGGCAATTACCAGGTGTTTGACGCTCTGCTATAAACTATGCACATGACTGGTCGTGCTCACAAAGGCAAGCTTCAAATCTCACTCCTCTATGGCGTTCCTCCAGGTCCATACAATCTCCAACCCACTGGCGCATGAAAATCACCTGGGGAGCTGGGACCCCTGGGCTCCACCACTAGAGGAGATTCTGTGGGGTGGGGAGGGCATCAGTATTCTTCAACGCTCCCCAAGTAGTTCTAATACACAGCCTGGGCTGGGAACCTCTGCAACACCGGTGGTTTTCACAGCATGGTGGTCAGATCAGCACATCAGCATCACCTGGGAATTTGTCAGAAATGCAAATTCCCCGGCCCCACCCCAGACTGAATCAGAAACTCTGGAGGAGGGGCTTAGTAATATAACAAGCCCCCAGGGGACTCTCATGCGCAGTGAAGTTAGAGAGCCATTGATTATGCCTGTTCCCACCTTCCTTTAAGACAGTGGTTCTCAACCTTCCTAATGCTGCGACCCTTTAATACAGTTCCTCATGTTGTGGTGACCCCCAATTTCATTGTCACAAATTGAACATAATTAAAGCATAGTGATTAATCACAAAAACAATATGTAATTATATATGTGTTTTCCGATGGTCTCAGGCGACCCCTGTGAAAGGGTCGTTCGACCCCCAAAGGGTCGAGACCCACAGGTTGAGAACCGCTGCTTTAAGATCTTTCCTTGGGAGGAGATTCTGGGGAAGCCACTGCCAGTCTATCTACAATCAAGATTAATCCTGCAGTTTTTAAAGATAAAAACAACTTCCTCGCTCTTATAAGCCAAGTGAGCTAATAATAATTTTAGATTGTCTTCCCTTTTAGAGTAACATCTTTGAAAGGTGTTAATTACTGTTTCTGTCTGCCTTAAACATTGCATTATATATCATTCTAACCCAGCAGTTCCTGGAGTGTGTCTGTGAGATGCTGAATGAATTTAAGAGTGTCACCGTGTTATGAGAAACAAGCCAAAGCAACCATGCTAGGTGAAATAGGAAATGGAAAGGTAATTAAATATTTTTGGCTATGTTCTCCATCAAGCTGGAAAAGCCCTCCAGGTTCCTGACATTTTTTTTTTTTTTTTTTTTTTGATGAATCTTATTACAACCTCTTGTACATGTTTTGTATCTAACAGAGACATCAGAAAGGCTATGGTTTATGGGTAAATATGACAACATAAGTAAGGGTTACAATCTTCCTTCCAGTTCCTGACATTTTTGTTTCAAGTTCTTAAAAACCTTTGGGATCGCCCTAGCTGGTTTGGCTCAGTGGATATAGCATAGGTCTGCAGACTGAAGGGTTCTGAGCTCGATTCCAGTCAAGGGCACATGCCTGGGTTGCAGGCTTGATCCCCGGTAGGGGGGCGTGCAGGAGGCAGCCGATCAATGGTTCTCTCTCATCATTGATGTTTCAATCTCTCTCTCCCTCTCCCGTCCTCTCTGAAAACAATAAAAATATATTTAAAAACAAACAAAAACCTTTGGGATCTAACTATCGACCAAGTGAAGACTTGGCTATGTGAACCAAGGTTTTCATGTCACTCCCTCCCTCCTGTTTTTCCCCATTGAGATTGTGATTGCATCTGGGATTGTGATCTGGACATCAGAATTTGTATATTCTCACCCTAGGAATCTAATTTCCAGAAAGGGTTGGGAACCATTGCTTTCAGGGAGGGCAAGCTTCCTCATCCTTAGGTCAGCCTCTGGGGACTCTGGCTGGGACCTTAATTTACTGCAAGAGCTAATGACTTAAGAGTTAGTCTTGAAACATTGCTCTCCAATATGACACTAAAGATGCAATCCTATTCTATCACTAGAGGGCAAAATTTCTTCATTTTCAACATTTAATAAAGCATTATTGCCTAAGGTTAAGAATTCAATCAGGTTCCTCTCATACTTTTAAAAAAAAAAAAAAGCTGAATGATAGCATTTTAATGAGCGTGTACTGGAGCCTGACTTTCATGAGCGTCAGTTCCTTCCTATCTGTGCAGTGCGGATTTGAAAGGCAATTGTTAAAAGAGCTCCGTGGCCTTTCATGTGCCACCTACCCTCTTCCTAAAGGAGTCGTGCTTGATAGGGTATATTGTTTTTCAAAATGCATGGCTCTGCCCGACCGGTGTGGCTCCGTGGTTGAGCATCAACCTATGAACCAGGAGGTCATGGTTTGATTCCTGGTCAGGGCACAGGCCAGGGTTGTAGGCTTGATCCCCAGTGGGGGGCGTGCAGGAGGCAACCAATCCGTGATGTTTCTATCTCTCATCATTGATGTTTCTCTCTCTCTTTCCCTTCCTCTCTGAAATCAATAAAAATATGTTAAAAAGAAAAAAAGTGCATGGCTTTGCTAGGTAGCCTATGTTACCACACAGGAGGTTAAGCTTGATTATATCTGATTAAAACTTGGTTACTTTCTCTTTCAGAAAGTGAGACAATAATTGTCTCCGTTTTTAAATCATTTGATTTTTGAATTTTAAAATCGAAATTCTGTATTTCTAGCAAAGTCCTAGGTGATGCCAATGCTGAGACTGCTGGGCAAGAATTACACCTTGGGTCGTAGGAGGTAGAGAACCCAGGAGCAGAGACTGACTCCTCTTCGAAGCTATCCTAAGACCTTAACTCCACACCGATAACAGGTCTGTCTGCACTCCCAGGAAGACAGAGAGATCACAAATGCAGTGGATTCCAAACTGGCTGTATATCAGAATCATTTTGTTGCTTCTTAAAAATAAAGATTTTTCGTCTCAACTCCTGAAGATTATGATCAGTAGGTCTGGATTGGGGCCCAGGAATTTATATATTTTTTAATGTTTTTATTGATTTCAGAGAGAGGGAGAGAGAGATAGCAACATCAATGATGAGAGAGAATCATCTATCAGCTGCCTCCTGCATGCTTCCAACTGGGAATCAAGCCCCCAACACAGGCATATACCCTGACCGGGAATCGAACCCCCATCTCCTGGTTCCTAGGTCGACGCTCAACCACCAAGCAACACCGGTGGGGCTGGAATTTGTATTTTTTAAAGGTACCCAGGAGATATTGCCAAAACATCCTCTGTTTTTACAAATCACTATTCTTCAAAGTTTTTTACTTTGCAGATAAAAAGACCAAGGCCAGAAGAGGGGAAGGAACTTTCAAAGTCAGTGATAGAAGAAACCAGGATCCAGGTTCTTCTGGCCCTGTTACATTGAGACATTGCTGCTTCGTAGGAGCTAACATGTGTGCTTGACTTTCCTTCTTTTACTATGTTATTGATAGGTATAGTAACTAGTTTCCAAAGATTGCCCACAACGAACCATGACTCTCAGCATTCACACCCCTGTTGTGTCCCTTCCCACATGAAATCTGGGCTGGCCATGTAGCCTGCTGTAGCAAACAGAATGCTCTGGAAGGGAGGCTGGGTGACTTCAGAGGCTGAGCCTTAAGAGGTTTGCAGCTTCCACATCCTTCCACCTCGGAGCACTGTGCTTTGAACCCTGGTATCATTCCGTGAGGAAGTTCAAGCAATCACATGGAGAGGTCCACACAGAGAAGAGCCAAGATCCATAGCCACGGCCTGAACTAAGTTCTCCCAGCCAACAGCCACCACTAACTTCTCAGCAATGAAGGAGGCCACTTTGGACCTTCTAGTCATCACCCTAGTGGAGGGGAACTGTCCACTCAACTCAGAAGGATACAAAATATTTGTTGCTTCAAACCTCTAAGTGTTAAGATGGGTGTTGTGTTATACCCCAAGCAATAACTAAAATGACAGGAAATGAAATCCCCTTACCTGTTAGGCTGTAAACAGACTCGGTCGTAGCCTGTGATCTCACACAAATCCTTCTCAAGCTCTCGGAAAAGCTGCTGGTACCCTTGAGCTTGGTCCAAAGGCACAAAGGGGTGGATGTTTGCAAATTCACTCCATGTGATTGGCTGAAGAGCAAGAAAGGAGAAAACATATGCATATATACATATTGTAACAGCAGTAACAATATTAACTTTGATGATGATGATGTGATGATGATGAAAGTATGATCGGACATGCAGTGCTTACTATGTGCCAGGCACTGCTTTCAGCACTTTATTTATTTATTTTTAAAATATTTTTCTTTATTGATTTCAGAGAGGAAGGAAGGAGAGAGAGATAGAAACATCAATGATGAGAGAGAATCATTGATTGGCTGCCTCCTTCACAGCCCCTACTGGGGATCGAGCCTGCAACCCAGGCATGTGCCCTTGGCCGGAATCGAACCTGGGATCCTTCAGTCCACAGGCTGACACTCTATCCACTGAGCCAAGCCGGCTAGGGCTGCTTTCAGCACTTTAATATATTCCTTCATTTAACTCTCACCACAATCTTACAAGGTAAGTTCTACTACTGTCTTCATTTTAGAAGTGAGTCCCAGAAAGTGAACTTGTGCAAAAATATAACCTCTTTCTATCTTATTTAGGGACAAAAAGGCCCGAAAATAGATTTATATCCATGAAACCCAATGAGTTGCTTCAAGTACAGTTTATTCAAACTCTTACATAGCATGTACATTACTGTCTCTTCATTAAGCAGAGCAAAGCAACAGAAAAGCAAATGGGGGAAATCTTCCTGTCACAATATAAAATTATTTCCTTGGCCTGATGTGATTTGTCACATCTGAATACTCCGGTGGAAAAAAAGGAACAAGCTAACTTTGTTGAAATGGATCCTAGCCTAGGAAACATGCTTACCAACACAACAGCAGGTTACACAAATCTTCTGTTAACACAGGAAAGAAATTAAAACCTCAAATCTCTACCCTTTGGCACTATGAATGGATTTCTAGAAAGAAGGCTTAAGGTTCTTCTGAGCTTAACAACCACAAATTGATCAAAATAAAAGCTTTTCATGTGGCAGGTTTAACAAAAGATGGTGGGAGGGTAGGAAGGTATCAATACTATATATTTAATTATTTCAATATTTCAAAATAATCTGACTCATAAATTTAAATGATCAGGTTGTGGTAAAATTGGGGTTTCTGCCAAGATTGCTGAATAACAAGGAAAAGGATTATTAAAGTAGTTATTAATTCACCGTCCCAGTAGCAATTTTCTCTAGTTATGTACAGCCAGAACAAGTTCCTTCTTAGAAGTGACCTACTTACTGCAAGTTCAGATGAACTGTTGAGCTTCATGGTACAGGATCCCTTTAAGAAGCACAACCAAAATAAATTGCATTGGTTATTTCTTATGATCCGTATGATCAGCCCTTCTATCTCCCCACATGGCCACCCATTCACCCCTCCTGCAGCATATTACATGTGACCCAAAGAGGGGCGGGGATAAAAGTAATAATTACCAGTGGAATCATGCTGTGAACGAGGGAAATGTCTTTGTTTTCTAATTTCTTCATATATCGAACAATATTTGTTTCTGAGTGATAGCTGTGAACACAAAACGCGTGATTGGGGCCAATCTAGTTAGGTAAGAGTCCATACGTATCCTCCTGAAAGATCAGACACACTGAGATCTACCTTCAACATACAGATCACGTTGGGCCATGCCAACAAAGCATCAGAGGGAAGGGCATGGCACCCCACAAACCTCAGTGGATGGCCCAGGACAAGAAGCATCCTGTGGGCATAAGAGGAAGGTTGGGAAGAAGAGGATGTTGACTTCCTGGGTATGCTCTTCAGCCTGGCAACTAGGCATCTAAACTCTCCCCCGTCTGATGAGTAGAATTAGGGGTTACAGTGCCAAGGGGTCAGGGCCAACAGGAAATAATGTGTACTTTGCCCAAATCAGCAATGGGATCTTATGGCGATGATTTATTATTAAGGGAATATCACGTCCAAGTCAGAAGCCACTCTCTACTGCGCTCCCAAGCCACGGCACACAGTGCAAAAGTCGAAATGGCCACACAAACCTGTTGAACACTTGATTTGTAAGGAACGGGCTGGTTCTCTTGAAGGCAGTGGCTAGAATACCTCTCCGTTCCTCGCCCATGCTTTCAGCAACCAGCTCCTGCATGGAGAGACCACAGAAACTAAAGGGCAGGAATTGTGCCTAGAACCACGTGTGGACGCCCAGGCCTCAGGTCAGCAAGTATTCTCACAGAGCATCAGAAGTCCCCGAGCAGCCCCGCCCGCCCACTCACCGCCTCCCCAGGCATCTGGCATGGTGTGCTGACAGGTGTCAGGAGTTATGAATTGTGAAAATCTCCAGAGCTCTGTTTTTAAGTTCTACTGACCTCAGCCACAGAAAATAAGGAAAACTGTACAATTTTTACTGCAAAAAAAGGTGACATCTCCTGTATTTCCTTGAATAGTAAGTGAGTTCTGGTAAGTTATTTTAAAAGGCTATCAAAAAAGTTACCATGATAACACTCAGGTAGTGTGTCACTTGACACTGATCTTTTATCTTTGAGAACAACTCTAATGAAATTCAAATTCCAAGATCGTGTAATGGGGAAAGGACAATGTCTTCAACAGACAGAGCTGAGAAAACTGGATTTACACATGCAAAAGAATGAAGTTGGATCCAGATCTTACATAATATACAAAAAAAGTAACTTGAAATGGATTAATTAAGGACCTACCTTTAAAGGGTAACACTATAAAACTCATAGAAGAAAACAGGGGGACATCTGCATGACCTTGGGTTTGGCTATGGTTTCTTAAGCATGAGCAACAAAAAACAGACTCATTAAAATTAAAAATTTTTGCATATCAAAGGACACTGTCAAGAGAGTCACGTGATAACCCACAGGAGGGGAAACTATTTGCAAATCATATATCTATTAAGAGTTTAATATAGAAAATATATAATTAAATAGATCGCTTGCTCCTCATTCTGCCCCAGGCTTCAGTGACTGTTCATTCCATAAACATGCCTCAAACATGTGGAATGAATAATTGTGATTAAAAGCAGTGCAGCCAAACTGGTTTGGCTCAGTGGATAGAGCGTCGGCCTGCGGACTGAAAGGTCCCAGGTTCGATTCCGGTCAGGGGCATGTACCTGGGTTGCGGGCACATCCCCAGTAGGAGGTGTGCAGGAGGCAGCTGGTCAATGTTTTTCTCTCATCGATGTTTCTAACTCTCTATCCCTCTCCCTTCCTCTCTGTAAAAAATCAATAAAATATATTAAAAAAAAATAAAAGTAGTGCAAAGTTCTAGAGCAGCGGTTTTCAACCTGTGGGTCGCGACCCCTTTGGCAGTCAAACGACCCTTTCACAGGGGTCTCCTAAGACCATCCTGCATATCAGATATTTACATTACGATTCATAACAGTGGCAACATTACAGTTATGAAGTAGCAACAAAAATAATTTTATGGTTGGGTCACAACATGAGGAACTGTATTTAAGGGGCCAGAAGGTTGAGAACCACTGTTAGAGGGAAGATGCTTATTCAGTCCTGTTTATTAATTAAAGTTTAATATGATACTTCTTTGATGATTTCCATTTGTTATCCTGAAGTCCTCTCTCAAAGAGGACACAGACAACCAGGACAGCAACATTCAACACTCTAAAACCTATTTCAACTTCTTTAGTAAATGTTTTCTTCCATTGATTTATTCATCAAATATTTATTGAGGGCTTCCTATGCACCAGGCCGTGTAAAGCTGTGATTAACACCTGGCCACAGGTCTAGGTAGTCACTGACACCTCTCTCTTTCATTCTCATTCCATGGAATGTAACCTTTATCCTCACATGTCCCTGCTATTTCAATGTTTTAGAAACCAACACAACTGCTTCTAGTTCTCAGGAATCTCTCTCCTCCAGCCTTTGTGGCTGTTTTTCCCAGTGTTTGGAACACTTCTGGCCCCATCCTCCTCTTCAATAGTGCCATCTTAGACTATATAACTCCTACTCATCTTTCAGATCTCAGCTTAGGATAATTTCTTCCAAATCCTGGTAAGAAGACTCTCCTCTGTGCTCAAAGAGCATCTTCAGACATCACCCATTATAACACATCTCTTGGATTGCAATCTTGTGCTTGTTTGAATCCTCATTAGACTATAAGCTCCGTGAGTGCAGGAATCATGTCTAATTCACCACGATCCTCAGGACCCAGCATGCTACCTGGCACATATTAGGTCTTTAATAAATATATTTTGCGTGAGTGGGTATCATAATTTTCTCAGAATCGACATAACCAAGATGCCAATGTCATGAATCTCTATATTAAGGACAATCCTTCCAAATAGCCTGGGTGCATGGTCCTGGGTAGGGCACACAGCAGTAACCTCTATCAGCAGTCACTGCTGCCAGGGACAGTCAGTGCCATAATTTTAACAGCAAGCCACCAATGTCACACCTCCTCCCCCCTCCCATACATACTCAGGACCACAAGAAGCAAACCCATCTTTGACACCACCTCAAATAGTCGTTATAAGAAATGCATGCTTTTATTTCACTTACTGCAGATGACTCACAGCCAAAGATCCACAACAAGTCATCCAGATCTTTTTCACTGACTGTTTCATCAAGAGAAATACCAAGCTACAGAAATAAAAACAAAAGAGAAAAAAAACATCAGCTCTAGACCCAAGAGAGGTCAAAGGTGAGAAGATGCTGGACAAAACTCCCAGTCCTTTTAAAATATCAGGGTGCCAGTTGGTTACCAAATTGGCCCTTAGGCAAAAGGGACTAAGACCAGCCCCAGACGTCACAGGATTTAGTTTTATAAGCCACTTCTGGACTCTAACACTGTGATGGTTGCAGGGTACTTCTATTGGTACTGGATATCCTCATCTTTTTCTTCCCTTAACTTGCTTTATTATATCATTTATCAGGGCCTTTACCTTGAAAAGTCGTATTGTGAAGAGAGAAGTAAGAAAATATGTGCCTAAAAGTCTCCTTTATGAAAACACAGTCTTAAGGAAAGATGAGAATCAAATATCCTTTGAAGGATTACAATGTTCCTAAACTAGAAATGAAAATGGTTTATTAAAAAAAATAGATTGGGGGCCGGGGGTGGGCTAGAAGGGGTCATTGTAGAAAAAAGGGGATATAAGAATATTTTCAACAGTAAAGAATATTTCTTTAAAAAATAGATTGTGCCCAAAATTCCAATATTGATTTTTTTTAACACATTAGCACCAAGCCTGTTTTGTCTTCCTTTCCGGAAAGTATAGTGTCAGTCACTGGTGATTGACATGGTGCTTAACATGTTAAATAAAGAGGAAAACTTTTAATGACAAAGGTCATGAAAATTTATGCAATTAAAAAAAGTCATGAAAACCTAGAGACTGTGTTAAAAAGAAAACAACAAACACCTGAAAGTTTGACTTACTGTGCCATCCTCAAAAAGTCGAAAATTGATTTGCCTCTGAGCAGCTCTGCTCAAGACCTCCTTCACTGAGCAGCCACACTGAATCTTCAAAGTGTCAAAGAACAGGTCATGCTGGAGTTGATGCCCCGCTCGTTTGAGACCTAAACAAGAAAGGAGGATCAACCAGATTCCCCCACAGAAACCTGCTCCTCCGTCACTGACATTTTCCAGAAAAATAAAGATTAAAATCCTACTAAAAGAGTCTGTTTCTGCCCTACCCAATGTTTTGTGGCTGCTTAAAAAATTAAATGCTTATTACTATACTACAGAAAATTGTAAAATCTATATATATAAAAGCCTAACATGCAAATTGTCCCCATGGGAGTTTAACCGGGAGACCGGGAGTTTGATGGCTCACTATGATGTGTGCTGACCACCAGGGGGCAGTGTGGAACAAAGGAAGGCCCTGGCCGGCAGCCAGAAGGTCCCGATCGGCCCCAATCACCAGCCAGGCCTAGGGACCCTACCTGTTCATGAATTTTGTGCACTGGGCCTCTAGTCCCATATAATAAAAGCCTAATATGCTAAGTGTCTGGTCATCCAATCAGCCATTTAACCAATCAAAGCATAATATGCTGCCCTAGCCGGTTTGGCTCAGTGGATAGAGCGTCGGTCTGCGGACTGAAGGGTCCCGGGTTCGATTCTGGTCAAGGGCATGTGCCTTGGTTGCGGGCACATCCCCAGTGGGGGGTGTGCAGGAGGCAGCTGATTGATGTTTCTCTCTCATCGATGTTTCTGGCTCTCTATCCCTCTCCCTTTCTCTCTGTAAAAAATCAATAAAATATATGTTTAAAAAAAAAAGCATAATATGCTAATGATATGCTAAGACCACTCAACCGCTTCCTATGACATGCACTGACCACCAGGGGGTAGACACTCCGGCTGGTAGGTTAGCTTGCTGCTGGGGTCCAGCTGATCAGGATTGAGCGAGATGGACCAGACACGCCCTGGAGCCCTCCTGTCGTCCCTCCCCAGCTGGTCATTCTCCCGCATCCCTCCCCGGCCCTAATTGTGCATCAGTGGGGTCCCTCAGCCTGGCCTGTGCCTTCTCGCAATCTGGGGCCCCTCGGGGGATGTCGGAAAGTCGGTTTCAGCCCAACGGCAGAACAACTGGTCACTATGACATGCACTGACCACCAGGGGACAGACACTCAATGCAGGAGTTGCCCCTGGTGGTCAGTGCACTCCCAAAAAGGGAGCACCGCTCAGCCAGAAGCCGGGCTCACGACTGACGAGCACAGTGGTGGTGGCAGGAGCCTCTCCCACCTCTGAAGCAGCACTAAGGATGTCTGAGGGCTCTCAGACTGCAAGAGGGCGCAGGCGGGCTAAGGGACCCTCCAGGTGCATGAATTTCACGCACTGGGCCTCTAGTATAAATACCAAAAAAAGAAAGAAAAGTCACCATAATCACCATCCAGAAATAACTAGTGGTTATATTCTGGTATATATTCCTCTAGAAGTTGTGTGTGTATGTGTGTGTGTGTACACGTGCATGTGTGATAGGTCACATACATATATTTCTTTAACTTTAAAAATAATTGTAATATATCATCGACATTTTGCTTTTCTCAAAATCAAAACCCATATCATTGTTTTTAATGGCTGTATATGGTCAAACTTACAGATGTACCATAATGTAACTACATTTTATTGGACATTTAGGCTATTTCCAAGATTGTGCTATTGTCAACAGTGTTTCAATGGAAACCCTTTACTTTCCTATTTTATTATTTCCTTTGAATTTATACATAGAAGTAGAATTTCTGCATCAAATTATAGACATATTTTAAAGACTTTTGACATATATAGTTTAAGTGTTCTTAAAAAAAGAAGTCAGCCTAACCGGTTTGGCTCAGTGGATAGAACGTCGACCTGTGGACTGAAGGGTCCCAGGTTCGATTACGGTCAAGGGCATGTACCTTGGTTTCCGGCACTCCCCAGTAGGGGGTGTGCAGGAGGCATCTGATCGATGTTTCTCTCTCATCGATGTTTCTAGCTCTCTATCCCTCTCCCTTCATCTCTGTAAAAAAATCAATAAAATATGTGTTTAAAAAAAAAAAGCATAATATGCTAATGATATGCTAAGACCACTCAACCGCTTGCTATGACATGCACTGACCACCAGGGGGTAGACACTCCGGCTGGTAGGTTAGCTTGCTGCTGGGGTCCAGCTGATCAGGATTGAGCTGATTTTTTACTCCCCAGTAAAAAATCAATAAAATATATTTTTTTAAAAAATAGAAGTCATATCAATATCAGCATTCTTTTTCATCTTTGCCAGTGTGATGGGAGAAAAACTATTTTGTTGTTTCAATTTACATTTCTTTGAGTAATAATGAGGTTGAAATTATATATGTTCATTGACTATGTGACTTTTAATTCTGTATAAAGAATTGAACATACAGTGAGTTCTCAATTTCACTTACTCATGTTTATCAGTTTTGTTATACCCACAACTTTTTAAAAAAGATATGTGACTCACCTTCAGACAAAATCAAAGTGGCATTGTGTACCCTCCTAGCAATATGCTCCAGCCCTCGGGAACCATGGTAGATTGCAAACATGGCAGCCATATTCGCCAAGAGAGCCTAAAATGACAAAGAGCATTTAAGGAATTATGTTCAACAATGTGATGGAAGACAATTAATAGAAGGGACTATTCTTTTGACTTGAGATGCCAAATTGAAAACAGAGACAAAACAAAATGATCAGATTTCCTGCATTCTCTATGATACCTGGGGACCATTTATAACACGGCTGAACACCTGAGGGAAAGACACAGCATCCAAGATACTGTGGACTCACTATGCTAAACCTTCAAATATGACCATTAGGAAGGGGTCCCATACATGCAATATAATCATGCCATCCATAAAGGGGAAGATCAGGCTGTCACAGACATCGAGATACAAAATTTAATGTTGGAATACAGAGGAGCCATAAAGACCTCAGTGGGGAAAAGTGACATCTAAGAATTTTATACTCGAACAGTTCTTCAAGGATAGAAAGAACAAAAGTTTTCAAAAACAGAGGAACTCGGGGAATACAATGTTCCTGAGGCCTTCAATACATCAGTAGAAGGTGAATTTCAATAACCAAGAGATAAATGGAGAATCTGTGGCAAAGATGACAGTGCAGTTGTTACAGGTAGAAATCTGGAGTCAAAGACCCAGAGTGTTCAAGGAACAGCTCAAAATGTATCAGTCATCTTTTAACAAAGAGAATAATTTCACGCTTACAAAGAGAATGACACTGGAGTGGTCACTTGTTTAATGAAATCAATCTTGAAAAGGAAATACATGAAATGAAACAGACAACAGCGAGTTAAAAGGTCTCCAGAATGAGAAGGTGAAACTCAGAGAAGACAGAGTATAGCTATCTTCAGGGTAAACATCACTTTAATAATTGCAGAAAAAGAGATCTTTCATAATCCAGTTAAATAATGAAATATCAGCTATACATAAATGGGAAGAAATAAAAAATAATTAACAGCCCCGGCCAGCATGGCTCAGTGGTTGAGCATTGACCTATGAACCAGGAGGTCACAGTTTGATTCCTGGTCAAGGCACATGCCTGGGTTGTGGGCTCGATCCTCATGGGGGGCGTACAGGAGGCAGCTGATCAATGATTCTCTCTCACCATTGATGTTTCAATCTCTCTTCCTCTCCCTTCCTCTCCGAAATTAATAAAAATATGTAATATATTTTTTAAAAGAACTTGTTCATTGTAGACAGCCCAAATTTACCTGGAGAATTAGAAAACTCTAATGCACTTATGATCAGACAGATGCCTTCTGGGAGAAAATGGGAAGAAAGGATAAGACAGGGGCAGTCAGCTGCAGAGGAAGGGAAAATATGTAAGCAGAGAATTCAACAAATGGAGTGTAAACTATAGATAGTAAAGGCATCATGTAAAGATCCATTAGATGTCAACAGAGGAAAAGCCTGTGACAACTGATTCCTTCCTGTGACTCTAGAAGAGCTCTTACCTTCCTGAGGCAAAAAATAATATAAGAAAACCAACTAAAGAAACATCTCCAGCTCTGGCCGGTTTGGCTCAGGGGATAGAGCTTCGGTCTGCAGACTAAAGGGTCTCAGGTTTGATTCCGGTCAAGGGCACATGCCTGGGTTGCAGGCTCGATCCCCACTAGGGGGCGTGCAGGAGGCAGCGGATCCAGGATTCTCTCTCATTATTGATGTTTCTATCTCTGTCCCTCTCCCTTCCTCTATGAAATCAATAAAAATATTTTTTTTTTTTAAAAAAAGAGAGTAACGTCTTCAAAGACTGAACTAAATATAAGAAGACCTTATCATCTGCTCCCTAAAGAGGCTTTCTAAACCCTGGTGGTGCTTTGAGCCAATGCCCTGAGAGGGAAGAGACTGGACTGCCCATTGAGGTATCTGTGAGATCTCTCTCCTTCTCTGACCCTGACTGAAAGAGGTAGACTCAGAATAGACCACGTGCTCAGAGAGGCCCTCCACCTGACCCTAGAAGTTGGCTGGATATCAGAAAATACTGCTCCCCCTGGCCTGCGCCCTTGGGCAACTTCCTGGTAACTCCTCGTCTTTTATCCCACCCACTTTGGGAATGCCTCTCATAGCTCCCAGTGACAGTACCCTGTGACCACCACCAGCTTGCCAGTGGGACCATCCCCTCAAGTATAGTCACCTAAAGCACACTCGCTTTGCCCTCCTCACCCCATCCTGGAGGGCCTCCACCTGAGCCTGAAGAGAAGGGGCCCAGTCACCACCCATAATAAACCTGCGCTATAGACAAGAATGCTAGAGACTCTAAAGTGTGAAGCATGTGCATACACAGAGCACCAGTAAAATACACGGTATTTTGTTTCTGACAAGGCCACAAGGCTTCTCTACCAGTAAGATCTTAACATTCCCGGCGGAGCATACATTAATGAACAATGAAGTGAATGAATGAGTAGCTCATGTCTGTAAAATAGACTATAAGGCATTCAGGGGACAGGCCCGGTCTGTGACCTACCTGAGCAGTACAGATGTTGCTGGTAGCCTTGTCTCTCCGGATGTGTTGCTCCCTCGTTTGAAGAGCAAGACGATACACTTCTTTCCCGGTGGCATCTCTGGGCCAAGAATAAAACATCCAATTAGCACAGGTAATCGCAGCACCAGGAATTGTCATAAATGGACCTGCTTTTTTCCTTCCCAGCTTGCAGTGAATTTAGCAAATTTACTTGGGTACAAGGCCATAAAGAAACAACTTCCAAATCATCCCTTCTAACTAGAACTACTAATTTTTAAGTTGTACTGTGGGGATTTGAGGAACCCAGATAGAGACATTAAGGCTGGGAAACTTGCAAGGAAATTTTCCAGGAATTACCCAGCCAAATATAATGATGGTGATTGAGGATTAATTATCACTCTGAGCTTCTTGGCAGACTCAGGAAAAAGAAATATTTGACAAAGAAACCAGCTACTCTGTACTAGAAGTCTGAAATGACTATATAGCTATAAATTAAAATTATGTTAATCAGCTTACCACTTGTCTCTAATCAACATTTTCCCCTCCTAATACAATTAAAAATTTGGATAAGCACAAATATTTAGCAGTCTCATCCTTTCTTTCAATACACTTTGGGGTCCATTTTTCAGAAAGGTAAGAAGTTCAATATAAAAATCAGCAGACAGCCTTGGCTGAATAGCTCCATTGGTTAAAGCATCATCCCAATATGCTAAGGTTGCAGGTTCAATTCCTGGCCAGGGCACATACAGGAATCAACCAATGAGTGCATAAGTAAGTGGAAAAATAAAAATCAGCAAACAATAATTAATATATTACATTTTTTAAATTGTAACACCCTGTGCCTCATCTTGTCTGGTGAAGACATCACTGAGAAAAAAGCTAATGTGAGAATACTTGAAGAAACTTATTTTTACACTAAAAAACAAGGCGCCTTTTGCTACCCTGTGGCAAACTGAGAGTACTTTTAAACTTCCCATCACCATCATTCACTACTCCAAACTATTCACTTACCTCAGTATGTCAGTTTTTATGAAGGGTCAAAAAGATCATGCTAAATTTCCCAATAATGGCAAGGCATTCATGCTGGCCGGTGTGGCTCAGTTGGTTGGAGCACTGTCCCATGCACTGAAGGGTCTCAGGTTTTTTGGGGGTTTTTTTTGTTTTGTTTTTTTAATATATTTTATTGATTTTTTACAGACAGGAAGGGAGAGAGATAGAGAGTTAGAAACATCGATGAGAGAGAAACATCGATCAGCCGCCTCCTGCACATCCCCTACTGGGGATGTGCCCGCGACCCAGGTACATGCCCTTGACCGGAATCGAACCTGGGACCTTTCAGTCCGCAGGCCGACGCTCTGTCCACTGAGCCAAACTGGTTTCGGCAGGGGTCTCAGGTTTGATTCCCAGTCAGGGCACATACCAGGTTTCAAGTTCGTCCCCCAGGGGTGAATATGGGAGGCAACCGATCAATGTTTTCCTCTCAGATCGATGTTTCTCTCTCTCCCTTTATCTCTAAAATCGATAGAAAACATGTCCTCAGGGGAGGATAAAAAAATAAGAAAGAATAATCATGGCATTCATCTAAAATCTTTTATGGGTTTAAGAGAGGAAGGGAGAGGGAGAGAGAAAAAGAAGCATCAATGATGAGAATCATTAATTGGCTGCCTCCTGCACACCCTTTACTGGGGATCAAGCCTGCACCCTGGGCATGTGTCCTGACCAGGAATTGAACCATGGTTCATAGGTCAACGCTCAACCACTGACCCACACCAGCTGGGCTAAATTATTAATCTGGGGAGCTACTTCAATGAGAAGCACTCAAGAAAGTACTTGTGGAAATTGGTCCAATGGCCGAGTGGCGGGCCTCTAGGAAATAATGTGGATCTCACTCAATAAGTGCATGATAATCTCTCATTGCACTTATCATTACATAACTGTGCAGCATAATACTTTTGAGAAAGAAAATGATTAGATATAAAACACATCTAAAATATTCAGTCTCTCGGCCGGTGCTGGGCTCCCTCCGCAGACCCGCCGGCACGGGGCTCCGCTGGCCTTTAGAGGAGGCCGCGCCCGCAGGCCCATGGCTGCTGGAGGTCACGCTGCCAGCCAGGCCGTGGTGGAGGAGCTCCTGAGCGAGATGGCCGCAGCGGTGTGGGAGAGCGCGCGTTCCTGATGAGCATCTATTATTGCTGAAGTTTATCTTTGGCTCATCAGCCCTCCAGGCCCTGGACCTCTTTGATCGACAGTCCATCACTTTAATCTCATCGCCTAGTGGGAGGCATGTTTACCAGGTGCTTGGAAGTTCTGGTAAAACATACACATGTTTGGCTTCTTGTCATTACTGTTCATGTCCTGCGTTTGCCTTCTCTGTGCTCCGGAAGAGCGACAGCCTGCTGTGCAAGCATCTCTTAGCAGTTTATCTTAGTCAGGTTATGGGGACCTGTCAGCAGTTAAGTGTTTCGGATAAGCAATTGACGGACATATTATTGATGAAGAAGAAACAAGAAGCATAAAAGGGATATTGCAGAAGCAGCTGACGTGGTGAACAAACAGATGAAAAAATCTTACAGCCTAGGAAACCTCAACCCTGTGTCCCCAAAGCGTGAGGTGCTAGTGAGTGAATGCTGTGTGAGAAGGCCACGATATTGCAGTGTTCTGTGGTGGGCAGAGCCTTTTGTTACGATGAGATGTGGCAAATAAACTATGAAGATTTTTCTGCTACTTGGGGAAAAAAATATTCAGTCTCTCAAAGCACTCTTCAACTTTAGTAAATTTACATATGTAACCTCAGAACAACTATGGCGTGGATTACACACACACTTTTTCAAACATGTACAGACTCATGGCATTTGAGAAGAGGTACTAACTAGTTCACACCCCAAATAGATTCTCCCTTCTGAATCTATGTTGTACACATCTTTAATCAACCCCAAGTGACCCAGTTAGATTTAAAGAGCAATCAACAACTTTTGTGATCAAGAGAAGGAACAGGGGCCCGGCCAGTGTGGCTCAGCAGTTTAGCATCAACCTATGAACCAGGAGGTCACAGTTCGATTCCCAATCAGGGCTCATGCCCAGGTTTTGGGCTCGATCCCCAGAGTGGGGTATGCAGGAGGCAGCCAATCAATGATTCTCCCTCATCATTGATGTTTCTATCTGTCTCTCCCTCTCCCTTCCTCTCTCTGAAATCAATAAAAAATTATATTATTTTTAAAAAGAGAGGAACAGGGAAAATCATGGCCACGATAAAAAAGGAGAAACATGAGTTGCTTTACCTTGTAACTCCCACCATTCTTCCAGGCATCATCCTCACCAAGCTTTCTCTGACGGCAAAAAAGGCTGCATGCGGTCCACCATAGCCGAGTGGCACCCCAAATCTCTGTGAGCTGCCAAGGGCGATGTCTACCCCAAATTCTCCAGGAGGCCTCAAGATACACAGAGCTAAAAGGTCAGTAGCACAGCAAGCCAAGCTCTAGAAAGGAAACGAGAACGTCGACAAGGTTGTTACCTTCCCTGAGTGTAGTGATAGAGCAGCCAATCACCTCCACCATAAGCAGACTGGCAGAGTTGGTTCCTATTACATGTACTTCACTTATTCAGCCACTTAAAATATTCACTGAGTGCTTTTTATGTGCCAGGGATCAATAAACAAAACAAACTTGAAGACAGAAAGAAGGAAAGACAGCTTTACCATTCCAAGTGATAAAAGTATGTAAATTAAGGCACACCAGAACCAATCATTCAAAGTTGAGACACACCTCCATGGACCCCACAAGGAGAGGTTTGCTTACCCCAGTCTGATGGGCTCTCTCCACGAGTTCAGTAAAGTCTTCCACCTTCCCCTCAGTGTCTGGGTACTGGAACAGCACTCCACTGACATCTTTCCCACTGAAGTCCATTTCGTGGAATAACTTCAACTCAATGAGGACTCCAGCATATCTGGAAAGAGAGAAGACAAAGAACATGTTTTTGGTTTGTAAGGAAAAACCGAATAGCCTACAGTTTCTTTTCCATAATATAGCATTCATAATCTGTGTCCTTTCTCAATGCCCACCCACCACCACATCCCAACACACACACACACACACACACACACACACCCCTCATACCCAGACCTTCAGTGGTAACAGTGTTTCAAACCAACTCAATTGCATCCAACAGCTCAGCTTCTGTTTTTCTCATCCACAGGCACTACTCCCCTTTCCTGCCAGAACCAGCTCCTGAGATAAGACCAGAAACATTGCCTCGTAGGGCTAAAGAACCAATATCTGTAACAGCAGCGCCATTGCCACTTTCACTTTGGATAAGTCTTAGGTCAGCGGTTCTTAACCTTCCTAATGCCGCGACCCTTTAATACAGTTCCTCATGTTGTGGTGACCCCCAACCATAAAATTATTTTCGTTGCTATTTCATAACTGTAATTTTGCTACTGTTATGAATCGTAATGTAAATATCTGATATGCAGGATGTATTTTCATTGTTACAAATTGAACATAATTAAAGCATAGTGATTAATCACAAAAACAATATGTAATTATATATGTGTTTTTCCGATGGTCTTAGGCGACCTCTGTGAAAGGGTCGTTTGACCCCCAAAGGGGTCGCGACCCACAGGTTGAGAACCACTGTCTTAGGTGAATAGAAAATCATCAGTAAGACAAGAAGGAGACAGACCTTCCTTTAGGTTCCTAAAACCATCTAATTCCAACATCTGTGAAAAACCCCTTCGGAAGGGATGGTGGCATGGGTAGCAGGAAGATTACCCAGCTTTTATAAGGAGAAAGATAATAAATACACCAACAAGTGGTGGTTGTGGGATATTTATGTGATCTCATTGCAACACCTACTAGTCAATACAATACGCTTTCTTCTACATCATTCCACACTTACAACAGACCACAACTATGAACACACACAAAATCTTAACAGTTGTGTGAGAATTCCATTCCCCCCCTCTGTTTTTCAAAGTTTCTGCAACATTGTTGAAATTTTTAAAATTTTCTTTTTACAAAAACAAACAAACAACAAACCCACATGATAATAGAAAGCAAAGGCAATTAAAAGCACTGTGCATTTTCTCCTCAATTCTGACACCGTTTACTTACCAGCAAGATCCTGAGAAGAGAGTGGGAGGGAAAGTAAAACTCAACAACCCCAATTTAAACCAGGTTCACCTCCAATCAGCTTGGAAGTAAGGAAGAGACCCAGTCAAGATGAGCATGATGGTGTCCCTAGTTCAAAATGTGATTAAAAGCAATTACTTGGCTCGCGTCTGGATGACAGCTATTGTCTGTGGGTGGCAACGAGGGTCAACAAAAAACTTCCTCCTCTTGGTGTGTCTGTTGAAAAGGAAAATCACATTCAAGCATGGACATTAAAGAAATCAGAGTACTTCTAAGAATGCAAAGCAAACATGGTACTTAGGGGAATTCCGAGCATAGCATTGTGGACCCCCCAAAAAAAGGACTGCTATGGAAAGTAATCTCACAGGGTGATCTGATCATTAATTCCCAACTGGGAAGGCCACAGTGGGTAGTTATACTCCAGGCATATAATTTCTTTAGAAAAAAGGTTTACCTTTGCCTTAAGCAAGCCCTGTCCACTGTTTCTGTGTCTCTAGATTAAAACACCTTTGAAATAAGCCCTAATGTGAAAAAAGCACATAATCTTAACTATCCTGTAAGCCCATCCCCATCTCGCTCTCTCCCATCTCCATGTAATCTTCCTTACATTCCCTCCTTAATTTCAAATGCATAAAAGGAGCTGCAAACCTGTTATTCTCCCGAGCATTTGAGAGATCTTGCTTCCTGGCATCATTTGGACTCAAATACACTCTTATGAAAATTCTTCACAGGGTTAGACATTTCTTATGTCGACAGTATCAAAAACACTGGGGCAATAATGACCAATGAGCTTTACTGAATAGATTTCCACTGAAATCCAATTCCTATCCTATTTAGCAAAATCGGTGGTGGTAGATGGGAGAACACATGGATGAGGAAGAGAAATGATGACCATAAATGAAAAGCTAGGAAGAATAACCAGAGGGGTGAGTGGGCAGCATTCCTTTGTAGCTGTTTATCCATCACAGGAGGAAGAGCCCCCAAGGCAACCTGGAAAGCGGAAGGGCTTCTAGCTGCAATTTAGAGGTCTCCATACCTGTGTTGAGCGAGTTTGGGTTGAGTGAGTTTGGGGCTCACCACCTTTCTAATTTGTGGAAGCCAAGAGACTTACATGGGCATTCAGGACCAGAAGCACAAAACCTCAGACAAATACACCATGAGTGTGGGCAGATTTCCCAACCAGACAACCATCTACATGAGAACTCTCCAGGTAGCTAGAGCAAATGTGCTCACAAGGCAAAGAAAGAAAAAAGGTGAGGAACTGGAGAGCAATGAACTAACTATACACCATGACCCAGACATTCCACCTCTAGGCACACATCCTCAGGAAATAATCAGAGCTTTTGACAAAGAGGAGAGAGTCTGGAAGATGCCCCTTACCCTGACAGTCTCACCCTGGGCCTCTTACCTGTGGCACAGCTGCATCGCCTCTGCAGCTGCGGTCGCCTCATCCAGCAGGGATGCGTTGGCCATGTCCATGCCTGTGATGTCACACACCATGGTCTGGTAATTCAGTAAACTCTCCAGTCTCCCCTGGGACACCTCTGGCTGGTACGGAGTATACTGGGTGATCCTGTGAGGGGAAATAAAGGACATGTCCATACTGTGGCTCCACTGCTCAGAAAAGGTTACCAAATGTCTTCATTTTAGAAATCACGATCTGAAAATTAAGTTTACCACTCTTGAGAATTGTATATAATGCATCAGTAAGCTTCCCTTTTCGCCTCTATAAGGAAGCTCAGAATTAAATTATAATAATATTATTCTTTGTTTGGAGATAATCAGTACTTATTTTTCTATTCCTCTAAGTGATTTTTAAAATTTTATGTTTCCATTTTATTATTTTCTCTATAAATTTTATTTATTGATTTTAGAGGGGGAGAGAGAGAGAAACATCAATTTGTTGTTACACTTATTTATGCATTCATTGGTTATTTCTTGTATGTGCCCTGACCAGGGATCAACCCCACAACCTTGGCACGGCAGATGATGCCCTAAGCAACTGATTTACCCAGCCAGGGCTACAGTTCTAGTTTAATGGTCTTTGGTATGCGTTTTATTGTAAGCTGGCTCTTACAATCCACTTGAGTCTACCTATGATATTATAAACAGAAATTTCACTTCCTATTATCTTTCTTCTATCTAAAAAGCTCACCCCATTTACAGTTCACAATAGGAATATATTCAAGAATTTTATACCTAATACTCAAACTTGTTTATTGAGCAGAGAATATTTGTTTTACACTATCCAGAAGTTCTATATGCTCCTAAGAAATTAATAGAGGCTCATTTTAAAATTTTCACTATCCAATTATTAAGAGTCTATGGACGTTAACTCCATAACTATCAATAGCAAGGATAAAAATGGTTAGAAGGCAGCATAAATATGAATTCTAATCTTATGAATTAATCTTTGGTTAATCTCCTCCAGTTATTAAACAAATATGTATCTTTAAGTGTGTAAGGTAACCCATTCAGTACCTTTATCTTTTTTTTTTCATTCCTTCATTCATTCACTTACCCTACAAATATTTATCTCATGCTTATAAAGAGAAATATGATAGCTTCTGGTGACATCTAATAAGCACAATGGATAACAGTAATGGGGAAAAGGAGACAATAAATGAAATAAATTATTTCAGAGTGATGAGTATTTTAAAGAAAATAAAGTAATGCCCAGCTGTGGTGGCTCAATGGATTGAGCATCGTCCCATGGACCAAGAGGTCCCCGGTTCAATTTCCAGTAAGGGCACATGCCCAGGTTATGGGCTTGATCCCCAGTAGGGAGCGTGCAGGAGGCAGCCAATCAGTGATTCTCTCTCATTATTAATATTTCTATCTCTCTCCCCCTCTCCCTTCCTCTCTGAAATCAATATATTATTTATATATTTAAAAAAAATTTTTTTTTTTAAGAGGAAAGGTGATAGAATAGAGGGTGACTGAGAACTTATGACAGAGCTGCTATTTCTTCACCAAGAATCCATTCCACCTAAGTGGGTTAGACTGGGACCCTGGCTCTTGCATGTGACTGACATTGCTTCATATCTGTATTGTTTTTGTCTTTCCAAGCCAGAAGAGTATAAGGCAAAAATGTTAGGTGTTTCGTTTTGTTTTTATTTGATTTTTTCAAGCCCTTCTCCTTTCTCCCTGTTCTAATCATCATGTTCAAGATATTTCCACCCATCTTTTAGTCTTCTTTTTTGAAAGCTTTGAAATCAATGTCTTCTTACCTTTGATGGGGAGTGGGGTAGGGAAGCTTGCCATACCAAGCAGTACAATGTCAACTGAAATTATTTTCCTGCAACTTTTATCGGGGTGTGTGTGTGCGCGCGCACAGCAGAGTAAATTTCTGCTTCAGTTAACTCCTTGAACAGCCTGGCTTAGGAAGTATAAGTCCATTTGCCAAATTCTAAGTGGGTGGTGAACTGGAATGAATAAGGCACGCCATACATGATGCAGACAAAGTAGAAAGGGAATCTGAGCAGAAATGGAGTCACACAAAAGGCACAGACAAGGGGCAATTGTGACCTCAGATCAGATAATACTCACACACAGCAGGGCCAGCCACCAGGAAGACATACGTTTAGATTGCCTGGCTAGCATTAAACTTTCATTTTACTCAGAATCACTGATTGACAAATAGATGCACAAACTTGCACACACGTGCACACATACACACATGTGCACGTACCAGCTAGTCCATCTAATAAATGGGAAAGATTCATTATATCCATAAAGATAAATATAGACTATACAATAGGGAGAGGGAGAGAGACAGACAGACAGACAGACACGCTCCAAAGAATTCATCACAGCACTGAGTATAATATTGAAAAATAAGCAGCCGTTGCTGGTGTGACTCAGTTAGTTGGAGGGTTCGATTCCCAGTCAGGGTACATACATAGGTTGTGAGTTCGATCCCTGGTTGGGGCACATACAGGAGGCAATCAACCAATGTTTCTCTCTCACATCGATGTTTTTCTCTCTCTTTCTCCCTCTACCTTCCTCCTGGTTCATGGGTTGGTGCTCAATCACTGAGCCACACTGGACAAGTGGTCTCTTTTCTTCTTGGTCTGTGACTTTTCTTTATACAGTTTTCCTTCAGCTTTACTGAGGAATAATTAATAAATAAAATTATATATATATATATATATATATAAAGTGTGAAGATTTGATATATGTATATTTTGTGAAGTGATTACACAATCAGATTAATTGATTTCAGTGTCTTTTCCACATCATAGTCACATTTATATTTAAAGTAAGATTACACTCTATGAAAAGTTTAGTATCTTGTTTCTGCCCTCCTTCCCCCCATTAATGTTATTCCATGGGCCATGGGCAGTTTCTGATAAGATTAAATATTGTTCAACAACATAATTTTCATTATGTGGAATTAAATCATTTTTATCATAACTTATTTAACAAGGTCCCTAAAAGTTGAATACTACTTTTTGAAAAATATTTATTCATTAAATTAATTGGGGTGATTACTTTTGATTTAAATAATAGAAATAGCATAACACCTCATCTTTGTCTTATTTTCTTAGGATGAATTTCTAGAAGTGTAATTTTGAATCATGAGATCATTAACTTTAAGGCTGTCAGTACATACTGCCATGTTCTCCTTAGAAAGATCATACCCAATGGTACTGCCTTAACTAGTGGAGTGCTTCCCAGGTTTCCCTGCATGTTCACAACCCTAAGAAGCCCTGGGTTTCAACTTTAATTCTTTAACTTGCTACGTATGAACTGGGACAAGTAACTAAAACACTACTAAATTCTCCTGGTGATCAATAGAGTTAACATCACTAATATTGTATTTTCTTAGTACTCAAATAAGATTAATGTACTCTATGGTGCATTTGAAAATGGCAAAATTCTGCCCAAATGTTGGTTGTTTTAAAAAGTTGTTTTGGGCCTGGCTGGCGTGGCTCAGTGGTTGAGTGTTGACCTATGATCGAGGAGGTCACAGTTTGATTCCTGGTCAGGCACATGCCCGGTTGCCGGCTTCATCCCCAGTGTGGGGCGTGCAGGAGGCAGCCGATCAATGATTCTCTCTCATCACTGAGGTTTCTGTCTCTCTCTCCCTTTCCCTTCCTCTCTGGAATCAACAAAATTGTATTCTTTTTTAGATGTTTTTGGCCCTGGCTGGGTAGCTCAGTTGGTGAGAGGGTCATCCCAAGACACCAAGATTGTGGGTTAGATCCCCAGTCAGGGCACATACAAGAATCAACCAATGAATGTATAAATAAGTGGAACAACAAAACAATGTTTCTCTCTCCATCTCTATCTCAAATAAAAAAAATAAATTTTAAAGAGTTATTTTCCCCCTCTATTTTGGCCCTTAAATAAATTTAAAAAGTCAACATAGACTTTTCCAAAAAAAATTCACTCATAGTTCTATTCAAATACTATTACTAGATAGTTCAACTTGGGATCTATTTTTTTCCTGGACATTCATTATATCCCATGTCAACTTTACATTCCCTGTTCTTCATCCAACTAGATCCCCAAATAAATGAGTTACTCTTCTTGGATATTCTATTCCTTGAAAGGTAGCACTCTCCTGCCAATTCTTAAAGAAACTCTAGATCTTTTTCAGTCCCAAATAATAACCAATTGCCATTAGTCTTCCTTCTGAAATCTTATATCCACCGCTTTCTCCTTTGTTGCCATACAGCCAGCACAGTACTTAAATAGGAAATCATTGAAGATTTGTGGCTCAAGTGTATGTATTTGACTCTCCTGCCCAAATGGGACAGCTCCCCATTACCTGCAGGAGGAAACCCCAAAGCTTTCAAGCATAGTCCTCCATGCCTGAGACTGTTACTCCTTCCATCACAGCCTTTGGGGTTTACTATTCCTCCTCCCCCACCCCTCCCCCCACCCCCCATGCTTTGCTCAGCATTTCTCCTCTGCTCAACCTTTATAGAAGTTCAAGCTTAGGCTGATGCTCATTAGAGAGCTTTAAAATTGTTTTCTTGCAAAGATGACAAATATATGGACCCCCTTCTTATACTTATAAACTTCTTCTATAATCTACAGGTTTTTACACTACTAAAATAAAACAGGCATGAAAGCCTTTCACAATCATCTGTTAAAGGACTCTTATATCAAGCTAGGAGATAACAAATAAACCCTCATGTGAGGATAAAACTGCTGCGCAGGGCCTGCCATCTTGCATACACAGGTTTAGTTGCCTCAACCGTTAGGCAAAACATGGTGATTAAGAAAATGTGTCGCCCTAACCAGTTTGGCTCAGTGGATAGAGCGTCGGCCTGCGGACTCAAGGGTCCCAGGTTCGATTCCGGTCAAGGGCATGTACCTTGGTTGCGGGCACATCCCCAGGAGGGAGTGTGCAGGAGGCAGCTGATCGATGTTTCTCTCTCATCGATGTTTCTAACTCTCTATCCCTCTCCTTCTCCCTTCTTCTCTGTAAAAACATCAATAAAATATATTTAAAAAAAAGAAAATGTGTCTGTGATCCACAATGTCTGTGTCCCAACTGACAGTTTAACTCAATTGGTTTGTGTTTCTAGATGTATTTTAATGTAAAAAAAAAAGTACTTACATATTCAAGAAGGAATTTTTTTTCCTATTTAAATAGGATTCCTGATGTATTCAACATGCATTAATACTATTCCAAAATAATCAGTATTCTCTATGATTTTGGCTGTGGCTTTCTTTTGGAATTGAGAAAGAGGGAGATGGGGAGGGGGCGGTTTGCAGTAGAATAAACATTCATGAGATTCTCTCATTTTAATCCTGGTGCCAAAGTTACACAAAACAGAAATAACCACAAAGAAAATGTAGACTTGTTTTTATATTAGCTACTGATATTATCAGCAGTCAAAAATTTGGAATAGTGGATCCCATAAAGTAAATTCTAGACCTGATGTAAATTTTCTTGCAAGAGCCCAAATGTTTGTGTTCTTTCAAGGCTATGCTCTCCATTTACTTTCACCTCACGTCACCGGAATTTGTTGGTTCCATCTCTATGGAAACCATTCAGAGGGATGGTGAAGTCCACCACCCTCATGTGCACAGCTCTCCCTATCAGTGCTGGCGAGGTGAGCAGCACCCTCTGGCTCAGATCTGCTTTCGGAGAACAGAAAGGAACACTATTTAAAATGCACCCAAAAAACAGGACTGAAAAGCAAAGAACACTGCCTCCCTCTCACACTGCTGGCGGCTCCTAAAGTAAATTAACACATCAGCTCACAGCCAGGAACCAATATGGTGAATGCTCTGTATGGCCACCAAGAGCGAAGGCCGCTGGCCAGTGTTCAGACAACCGAATGCTACAGCCCGTCTGTGTACTTATTTGTAAAGGGGAAGAAAGACTGGCCACTTGCTTTTGAAATCAAACTTGGAGTTTACCATTCAAACTTTCACCAGTACCACAGTGGAAAGATGCCCTCTGCAATGAAAATACTTTCACACACACAACAAAAGCTGAAAGACTAGAGTTTTGTCATTTCTTTCCTGTCTTGTTATTAATAAAGAAATGGAGTGTGTTGTAACTAAGAGCTCTGGATGGGGATGGCAAGGCAGGAGTGATTATGCCAACAGATCTGGCTCCTTTAATGATGGGATACAAGTAACTGCATCCAGGACAAAGCACTCTCACCAACCAGGACTACCTGTGCATTTTTGCAAAAGCAGACAAAAGATGCAAAGGTGCTATGCTGCCCACCTATGCCATGAGCTAAATAAATGGCTTGGTCCTCAAAACTACAAGTCTGGATTTGAGGCAGCAGATGAGGGCTGGCTGTACTGATGGCCAGACACCCTCTCTCATTACACAGAAATGAGAATACTGCTCACTCACAATTCAATTTAATTCTGACAAAATTTTATTAAATATATTTTTAAAAGTTGCAAAGTGTTCAGCAAACATTTAAGGTTTATTGCTGGAGAGTGTGCACCTGATATTTCAATAACTCATATGGAGATAAATTTCATGATTTCCCATAGGGAAGCCTACCTTCCCTTTACTAAAGTTGATTCGTTTTTAATATATGCTAACCTAAAAGACAATCTCTGAGCCCTGGCCGGGTAGCTCAGTTGATGAGAGCATCATCTCCAGACACCAAGGTTGTGGGTTTGATCCCCAGACAGGACACATACAAGAATTAACCAATGAATATATAAATAGTGGAACAACAAATCAATGCCTCTCTCTGTCTCTCTCTCTCTCTCATCCCCTCTCTATCTCAAAATCAATCAATAATTTAAAAAAAACACCAATCTCTGCATCTTACTATGAATGCCTTTCAATTGCAGAGGCCATCACTTATTCTATCCTCACATAATAACGGTCCTACTGGGTATTAAAATTACCTCATATACTAACTAAAAATAAAATCAGAAATTATAATTGCCTCCCCACACTTTCTTTTTTTTAAAAAAAGTAAACTTTGTTTAGCCTGGCCAGTGTTGCTCAATGGTTAAAAGTCAACCCATGCACCAAGAGGTTGCCGGTTCAATTCCCAGTCAGGGCACATGCCTAGGTTTCAGGCTTGATCTCCAGTGGGGGGTGTGCAGGAGGCAGCCGATTGATGTTTCTCTCTCATCGATGTTTCTATCTCTCTTTCTTTTCCTCTCTCTCTAAAATCAATAACATATTTTAAAAATAAATAAATAAAATAAAATAAACTTTGTTTATTGAATGGAGAGAGAGAGAAATGTCGATTTGTTGTTCCACTTATTTTTGCATTCATTGGTTGATTCTTGCATGTGCCCTGACCAGGGACTGAACCCCCAACCTTGGCGCATCAGGACAACGCTCTAACTAACCAACTGAATACCTGGCCAGGGCTTGGTTTGTTTCTATGCTAGGAATAACTGCACCCAGGCCTTTGGAGACTAAGTCATCGGTGGAAATAAAGTTTCAATTCAAAGATACTGGTATATGCAATGACACTGATCCAAAAACAAGGGAAAGAAAGGCCCGGGAGTCCCCACCTTTCCCCCTCCACAGTCTGGCAGTATTTCCCAATGGGCAGAGGAAGAGGGGCCCAAATCTGCTCCCAGGCACTTTTGGAGCCATGGTCTCTACCTGTCAAAAATATCCAAGGTCAACAGGGGGATGGGAGCATGAGTGTGCGGGGCGGGGGGCGGGGGGGGGGAGGTTGGGGTTAATGGGGGGGATGAGGACACATTTGTAATACCTTAACTAATAATAAAATAAATAAATAAATAAATAAATAAATAAATAAATAAATATCAAAGGTGTTTTCTTACTTAGTATTGGAAAGGGAACCTGTTTCATTCTTTACATCACATAACAAGCAACAATGGAAAATAACAAAATACTATGGAAGTGGACATGGGAGGTTTACCTTAGGTGTGGAGGAGACACTTTTAGTATTGTGCAAGCAGTAGCCGCGAGAAAATGCAAGAACAAAGACAGACAGACATCACTCACACACACACACACACACACACACGCACGCACGCACGCACGCACGCACGCAGGCACACACCCTGAGGACTAGGAATGAGTGAGGGGAGAACAGAACGAGCAGCTGAGCATGCACAGCTCAGCTCCTTCTTTTATGGTTTCCACTGGAGCCTGTTCACAGGCCTCACATGTTCTCTTTCTCTACAGAGTACTAAGTAATAAAGCTAATATTTTGATCTCCCTTTACCTGACATTGCCTTTTTTTTTTTTTTCACTTGGTTGTGAATCTAGAATAGGAGTCAGGGAGAGACAGTGGAGCCTCCTAAAATCCTGACGAAAGACAATGGACCAAGATTCTGGCTCACTGATTCCAACCTCTAAGACTGTCTATAACCCAAAACCCCAGTGTTTCCAAAGAGTAAAGCCCTGAATCTGCCTCCTGCAGGTGTGACATCTTGCTCAGATGTCCTTACAAAGACAGAATAGGCATTAGGTCAGAGAAAGAAAGAGATTACCAGCATTCACAATTTAGAGCTCTAGGATGTTTTATGGGAATAAAAGCAGGAAGAGGCTTCTAGTTCCTCCACCAATTTGAGTAAGGAAATTTCCCGAGCCAGAGGAAGCCAGGTAAGTTCCTGGAGGTTAGAGACAGCTCGAGTGCAGGGGTCAGTGGATAAGTTCTGAGGCCCCCAGGGGTAGGGGGTGTGGGAAAGTGGGGAGAACCATACAGATAAAATCACAATACTTCTGTTTTTCATCAAGTAACACATTACCATCCTGAGTTCTCCAGTAAGTTCCGCAAAATAGTCTGTGGCACTGAGCAGTTATAGTAGCCCATGCCAATATACGACCTCCAGACCTGGTTTCGGCTGGAAATTGCACGCAGAGTTGCAAGGATTTCATTTTCGCCTGATTGGAAGAAAGAGAAAAATGTTACAGAGAGAAAGTGTCTCAAAAGAGAGCTCTTGTTATAGTTTTAAACCCTCTTTTTGTTTGGATAGTTATATAAAGAGAACAGCTGTATGAAAAATATAAGAACTGTCTCTCCCACCCCAAACACTAAGCACTACATGCAGAAATCTGAAAAACCCCAAACAGCACTCAATTACTCCTCAAGGTTCCTCAGAATTTGGGGGCAGGGAACTTTTGGTTTTGTCAGAATTGCCCAGTTTTAACACTTGTCTCATTCTAGGTTTCTTCTGTCCCCTTTCAATAAAAATTCTACTTTCTCTTAGTAAAATATTGTTTTCCCTTTTAAATTGACTTATAACAATAGTTGATATAAGTCTTAACACGTGGCCTACATTTTTCTCTAAAATTGCTCTACCTCGAACACCTTTACCTTTGTGTCACTGAAAGAGTTACTTATAAAGAGCCCTTCACCCCACCATGTAAAATATTAGTTATAATAAAAGACCCATGTGTAGTTTTAACCAGCATTCCCACTAGGTTGCTTAGGTAATTAGGTAGAATTTCATAAAGTTCTTGGATGCAGGTGAAACCTGCTTTGGGGTCATTCATATAATGACAACAAAATAATAATATTTTGACATCTGACATTTTTAGTACTTACCTTTTGCCAGGTATTGTAACAAATGTTTTTCATGCAGCTAGGAAACTAAGGCTTGAAGAGGATCAATCACCTATGGCTACACTACTTTTGTTGTTGTTGTTGTTGTTGTTAATTCTCACCCAAGGATGTTTTTCCCTTGATTTTTAGAGAGAGTGGAAGGGAGGGGGAGAGACAAGAGAGAGAGAGAGCCACTGATGTGCCGGGAATTGAGATACATGCCCTTGACCACAATGAAACCCGGAACCCTTCAGTCTGAAGGCTGGTGCTCTAGCCACTGAGCCAAACCAGCTAGGTCTACGCTGCTTTAAATGAAAGGATAACAACCCAATCAGTCTAATTCCAGCTTCCACATGTTTCCCACTGGGCCAAGTTCGGACTGATAAAGGTAGCCCTTATACTGAAAGATGCTTTCTAGATACAAGTGACCTTACATGGCTCTTTCTCTGCCTCTCTGCACCTAGGGAGACCACACTACTGCAATTTAACTGAGATTTAACTACTTAGGCAAATGTCTGGCTCCTTTAAGATCTTCTTAGGGATTCAGTAAATTAAATGGTGGAATTGATTGATTTTATTGTTACAGTATCAGAAAAAAAGTCTAGGTACAGTAATCTCTAAGATGGCCAACTGGCTAAGAAGATGCTTCACATTGATTCTATCCTGCTGAACTCTATATGAATATTATTCTCATTAATCCTTCTTTATCCTCCATGAAAACACTTTCACCCTCCATCCCACCCCTCCCACTCCACATGCTTTCACGGGAAATAAGTTCACAACATATGTGCCATTTTGACAGACTGGGTTAAGGAAAGAGAGGACAGTTTTGTAAGTATCAGTTTCATGAGTAAATATAACCCAACTACCATATGATGGGCAATCTTGCCTTCCTCCACTGAAAGTTTAGGAAACAAAAGTGAAAGCATAATAAAACAGGATCTGATGAGATATGCAAGCACAGCATCCTTAGGAACAATTCTGCAAGAAATCCAACCGCTTCCCAAGGACTTCTCAGGGCTGAGTGAGTGAGAAGCCCAGTAGGAGGGGAGATTAATGAGCAATTCCTGGCAGGCGCATGACTCAGCAAGGCCAGCTTCAATTAAGATCCTGTGCAAGATATTCCTGTTTCATAGTATGCCATGAAGACAAAAGGGCCAGCTCTCAAATGAGAACAGTCTATAAAGGGCTTGTCAAATCACAAGTTTAACCTTTGGGAGCCACAGAGTATAGAATGATATGATTTCCCCCTACATTACAGAAAGATAATTCTATTGGTAGTATAGACAGGTCAGAGGGGAGGCCCTAGAAACAGGGAGAAATGGTAAGATACCAGCACACTAGTCCAGGAGGGAGATGGGCAAGGGAGTGTTGTGGTTGAACTGTGTCCCCCAAAATGGTACGTCGAAGCCCTAACCACAGGAACCTGTGAATGGGATCTCATTTGGAAATAGGGTTGCACTGATATAATCCAGTTGAGATGAAATTGTGCTGTGTTAGAGTCGGTCCTAATTCAATGACCAGTGTCCTTACCAGAAATGGGGAATTTGGACGCAGAGCACACATACAAGGAGAACACCATGTGATGGCAGAACGCTATCGGATCAGCAAGCCTTGCTTCTCAAGCTTGACTTTTCCTGTTATACCTCTTGAGTGATTAAAAGTTTTTTGTTTTTGTTATAAAATAAATAAGCCACAGGCATGTAATGTACAGCACAGAGAAAATAGTCACCAATATCGTAATAGGCCGGCTGGAGTGGCTCAGTTAGTTGAGGGTTGTCCTGTGCATCCCTGGTCAGGGCACATACCTGGATTGTGGGTTCGATCCCAGTCAGGGAATATACAGAAGGCAACCAATCGATGTTTCTCTCTCATCTCTCTCTCTCTCTCTCTCCCCTCCCCGCCCCCCAAGCATATCCTTTGGTGAGGAGTTAAAAAATAATAACATCATAATAACCTTGCAAGGTGACAGGTAGTTACTAGACTTATTGTGATCACTTTATAAGGTACATAAATGTTGAATATGTCATACACCTGAAACTCATGTAATATTGTACATCAACTATATTTTAATAAAATTAAAATTTTTTAAAGTTTTTTTTAACTCCTTAAAAGGTTGGATTGTAGCAAGTGAGTTAATGGAAACTGAGTAAAATAAATGAATCCCCAGAGGCACCAGGAGTTGGCTGCCCTGGACTCAGTACAGCCCCTCTGCGCCTAAGATCTTCCCCCTGGAACTCTCTCAGCTGGAAATATTTGTGTCTGTATTGATCATTTTTAGGTTTCCATGTATTATCTATCATTATTTTGTTCTTCATTTATGCCAATTGGCCTTTTAAAATTTTCAAGTATTTCATTCAAGTGCATAAAACATCAGCGGCTTCTGTGAGGGGAATGCTGATATGCATCTGGACACTAGTAAACTCTCAACTAGAATGAAGGAGGAATCTGATGTTTCCTTTTGCAAGAAAATGCATTCTCTCATCTCTCCCAGTGGGGCTGTCCAGGCAGAACCCCAGTGAGAGCCTCTGCTACAGCCCAGTTCCTTCCTCTTTCCTTCAGCAGCCTCCTGCCACCCAGGCCCTGGTCCTGTCCTGCCATATACCTTCAACAGTCAGGAAGAGAAGACCTCCAACCAGACCAGCCAGGAGCCCACTGGCACCTTCCCCATCAGCTCAGATGCATACCAGCATCCCTTAAAGCTGCCACTATGCCTTACACAGGAATGAAACTCTTGAACGAATTTAAAAGCTAATTAGCATAGATGAAGAGTAAAACAGTTGATTACAGCTAAGACCCAGAAGCACAAATACTATATGGTCCAACTTGAGACACAAAAGTCCCTAATCCTGTAACACATATACTCTAGTTCCTACCGGACCAACCTCCCCAATACTAGAGAGCTCTGCCTTCCCCTAGCTTGGGGCTATTCTGAATATTCCCTACTGGCCCCAATTAAGCCTGGTCTTTTTTTTTTCCCCCCACATGCTGATAATATGGCTTTATTTGGCTTAGCTTGGTCTTTACAACCAATTTTACCTTCTGCTGGGAACAAAGTGAGTTAATGGAATGAGCAGTCCTCTGTACACCAAGCTAATGGACACTCCTGAGCGTAGGGTAGGTACTTGGTCACGCTTCTGAAAGTGAGAATGGTGTGAGAAGCCCTTCCCATCCACTCATCCATTGCTCATGACCAAACGTTCTAGCAGAGAGTTAAGCTGCTTCTTACAGTGATAAAATCAAGACCTCGGGCTTTACCTATCACACATCAGGAAAACATTTCCCAAACACACAGCGTAGTATCTGCATTGTTTGATCACTGGAGGCCGTTTCTCATGTCCACTAATGAAAACTCTCTTTTGGCTCATTGGGCAGAAGAGCAAACCCGGTGTATTTAGGAGCCCAGAGTTTGAATTCCTATGTTAAATGATGCCAACAGACATGGAGAAAGGAAGAAGAGGGAAAAGTCCACATCAGAGATCTACCTGCTGAACCAATCTGAAATGGAACACAGCAGGACCCGTCTCTCAGAGCAAGTTTATGGGTATAATTCGTCTAAATAGAAGCCCCAGTCTTAGCCAGGCAATACCCTCCACTGCACTTCACAGTACATGTAGATTCCTTTCTCCCTTGGAGAACAATTCTTTTCTAGAGAAAAAAGTGTGGGATCTGGATCCAAAGTGGTAACCTTTTCCCCTACATAGTAAGAGAAGCATTATAAAAAGGCAATTGTGTCATCTCAAGCCCAGGCAGCCCAAGAAAATTTGTGTGGACAAAGAGGAGAAAGGAAAGACTTCATATTTCCCCCAGAGCAAACCCCATAGCACATTCCTCACACTTTTCCTTCCCCCTTAACAGCTTCTTCCTGTAAACAGGCCCAATTCCTGTAACTCTCTCTTCCTTGTGGATGTCAGTGAAACTGAGGTGGGGGAGGGGGTGAAACAGAATGAGAAAGGGAGTATCCTTTAAAAAAAAATCATAAATACAGCGGGGTTGGTGTGGCTCAGTGGTTGAGCATCGACCTCAACCTATGAACCAGGAGGTCACAGTTCAATTCCCAGTCAGGGCAGATGCCTGGGTTGTGGGCTCAATCCCCAGTGTGGGGCATGCAGGAGGTCTCTCTCATCATTAATGTTTCTATTTCTTTCCCTCTCCTTTCCTCTCTGAAATAAGCACAAATATTTTTTAAAAATACAAACTCAAATACAGAGATAAAATTGATGGTTCCCAGAGGGGAGGGGGGTTGAGGGACTAGGTAAAAAAGGTGAAGGGGTTAAGAAATACACATTGGTAGTTACAAAATAATCAGGGGAATATAATATACAGCATAACGAATATA